TTTTTTTTTTTTTTTTTTTTTTTTTTGGGGGGGGGGGGGGAATGGGTGGTTAATTGCAAAACAGAAATCATTTCTTGCAAATTCAACAGTTACACGTATCTTATAGTGAATTGCTACAAGAAATAATTCAAACTAACCTGTGATCGAAGGTTCTCAGTTTTGTCCACCAGCAGTTCAATCTTCTCTCCTCGGTCAAGAACCTGCACAAGAGACGAGGATCTTCAACCAAAATTGCAGTGTAGGGATAATGAGACACGCACATGCATAAAAAACATACTCCTTGTAACAAATCAAGGTAGAATTTAATAGTCTTACTATTAAGAGATGACCTGAAAAACACTCATTACCTTTTCTATGTTTTCCATCATCACTCCTTTAACTTCAGAAACCTGAGCCTTAACCTTAGCAAGCTTGCTGATCTCCTCCGGATGATCCACACAGTACTGCATGTGCTCCTTCAATTTGGAACTAAAATGGCGATTTTAAGGGTTAAGCAATGTCCATGAAAACCACAAACGTGTATCTCTTTTAAACATCAAACTGAGAAATATACCCAAATTCTTTGTTCAGGCTGTTGGCAACAGCAGTTGCAGCTTTCCCTCCTCCATATCTTTTGTTGAAATCTTCCTTAACTCTTTCTAAAAAGGCAATGGGAATCTGCCTGCCTGCGGACTCAACTGCAACAACACAGTACGCTGCAGTGTCCAAAATACAATTGCAGAGTCAGTACCACATCAATACAAGCAGTAGGAATATTATTAACAGAACCACTGAAAACACGTCATTCGGACTATTGCATCAGCCTAACTGCCTCAACAGAAACCAATCTGCACAATCTTAGATTTTACCTATTTATCTTTTAGTAGCAAAACGAAGTTCAAACAAGAGACAAAAGAAAACAGAAGAAAGTGTCATCAACGAAGGTACTGTGCGAGACATGATTCGTCATTGTACAACATTAATGCTCTGCATTAAAGCATCATCATTTGATCAGTATATTACCTATGAAGAGTAACTTTGGATCTTAAGTAAGCAGTTATTAGACTCATCTGTTATCATACATGCTACGAATGTGATAATTGCAAATTTTACTGGAGAAAAACACTTACAAACAAGACCAAGAAAAACATTCGGATAAATAGACATAACACACGCGCAGCCGCCGGGGGGAGGGGGGAATGATGCAATCATCATGCAACTTTTAAGAGTTTAAAACAGAAATGCAAGAGTCAAACAATAATAAACCTTTAATCCATAAATAAACAAGAGCATACTACATCAAGTCTGCATTCTGCAATCACCCAGCAAATTTTAAGAAGTTCTAACTGAAATGCATGACTCAAACAGTAAGATCTTCAATCCAGAATAAAGAAGCACACACTGTTGCAACTCTGTCATTTAAGGTCTACCAGAGTCACGTATGTGCTACCAAGCGAACATTTCACACGGACTTCCTTGGAAGTCTAACTGACTGCTTCAGGTCAGTGCAACTTGGAAAACCAAGAAAAGTTTGATAGGAGAAATCTGGAAATTGGGTCATTTTAGGTGAACTCGACTGATTGCAATTCTGGGAAATTTATTTTACGTTGTTGACAATAAATAGTATAGTAATTGGGTTTTAACGTAGGCATATTTTGGCAATTTTTTCTGTGGGCTGCCATATGGGCTCTTTTCCATAGTTTATTTGTGAAAAGGCAAGAAGGAAGTTTTGATTTCCATGGAGTTATTTATCAAGCTCGGGACTACAGAAGTGTTTTAGGAATTTGAATTATCACNAATATTATTAACAGAACCACTGAAAACACGTCATTCGGACTATTGCATCAGCCTAACTGCCTCAACAGAAACCAATCTGCACAATCTTAGATTTTACCTATTTATCTTTTAGTAGCAAAACGAAGTTCAAACAAGAGACAAAAGAAAACAGAAGAAAGTGTCATCAACGAAGGTACTGTGCGAGACATGATTCGTCATTGTACAACATTAATGCTCTGCATTAAAGCATCGTCATTTGATCAGTATATTACCTATGAAGAGTAACTTTGGATCTTAAGTAAGCAGTTATTAGACTTCATCTGTTATCATACATGCTACGAATGTGATAATTGCAAATTTTATNACTTCAGAAACCTGAGCCTTAACCTTAGCAAGCTTGCTGATCTCCTCCGGATGATCCACACAGTACTGCATGTGCTCCTTCAATTTGGAACTAAAATGGCGATTTTAAGGGTTAAGCAATGTCCATGAAAACCACAAACGTGTATCTCTTTTAAACATCAAACTGAGAAATATACCCAAATTCTTTGTTCAGGCTGTTGGCAACAGCAGTTGCAGCTTTCCCTCCTCCATATCTTTTGTTGAAATCTTCCTTAACTCTTTCTAAAAAGGCAATGGGAATCTGCCTGCCTGCGGACTCAACTGCAACAACACAGTACGCTGCAGTGTCCAAAATACAATTGCAGAGTCAGTACCACATCAATACAAGCAGTAGGAATATTATTAACAGAACCACTGAAAACACGTCATTCGGACTATTGCATCAGCCTAACTGCCTCAACAGAAACCAATCTGCACAATCTTAGATTTTACCTATTTATCTTTTAGTAGCAAAACGAAGTTCAAACAAGAGACAAAAGAAAACAGAAGAAAGTGTCATCAACGAAGGTACTGTGCGAGACATGATTCGTCATTGTACAACATTAATGCTCTGCATTAAAGCATCATCATTTGATCAGTATATTACCTATGAAGAGTAACTTTGGATCTTAAGTAAGCAGTTATTAGACTCATCTGTTATCATACATGCTACGAATGTGATAATTGCAAATTTTACTGGAGAAAAACACTTACAAACAAGACCAAGAAAAACATTCGGATAAATAGACATAACACACGCGCAGCCGCCGGGGGGAGGGGGGAATGATGCAACCATCATGCAACTTTTAAGAGTTTAAAACAGAAATGCAAGAGTCAAACAATAATAAACCTTTAATCCATAAATAAACAAGAGCATACTACATCAAGTCTGCATTCTGCAATCACCCAGCAACTTTTAAGAAGTTCTAACTGAAATGCATGACTCAAACAGTAAGATCTTCAATCCAGAATAAAGAAGCACACACTGTTGCAACTCTGTCATTTAAGGTCTACCAGAGTCACGTATGTGCTACCAAGCGAACATTTCACACGGACTTCCTTGGAAGTCTAACTGACTGCTTCAGGTCAGTGCAACTTGGAAAACCAAGAAAAGTTTGATAGGAGAAATCTGGAAATTGGGTCATTTTAGGTGAACTCGACTGATTGCAATTCTGGGAAATTTATTTTACGTTGTTGACAATAAATAGTATAGTAATTGGGTTTTAACGTAGGCATATTTTGGCAATTTTTTCTGTGGGCTGCCATATGGGCTCTTTTCCATAGTTTATTTGTGAAAAGGCAAGAAGGAAGTTTTGATTTCCCATGGAGTTATTTACCAAGCTCGGGACTACAGAAGTGTTTTAGGAATTTGAATTATCACTTCAAACAAGGAGAAAGCCTCATTGATTTAATTAACCTGTTTCATTAAATTCAGTTTTGGTGACCTTTGAATCTGGTTCCAAAGTAGTTGGCTTTTATCTGGGCCCTTCAATAAAATTGTAAAACAAGAATTGGGGACCAACTAGCTAAAGTTGCTACGTGCAAATATACTATGCTATAGTATAATTGTATGTTATGGTATAACCACATGTTCTGCTAGACCACAAAGAATTTTCGTAAATTACTTATGTGCGACCGTGACCAGATGAAAATATGCGGTAAGATCCTCAAAATTCTATTGACAGATTCCAAAAAAAAAAATTCTATTGACAGATTCCAAAAAAACGAACATTATACACACAGTATAGAGGAGAAACTGCAACCAAAATTTGGCATAAAATTACCCTCAAGCAGTCAAGCTGTTTACCAGTTTCTAGAATTCATTGGTCGACAACAAAATATTTGAATAAAAATCCTATATTGATTCATTGCTATTGGGGCTTCATTTGTAATTTCATAATCTAATTATCCGGGTACACACTCTCAAAACCTTAACATCCCGATTTAAATATATTGTCTATCCTACATAATTGGTAAACAATCAAAACCTCTTCTACGTATGGGTATAAATACATGTACCTATATGTATCTATGCTCATAAATCACGAAATTCAATAAACGAATCAAAATGAACAGTTGAATAATCAAAACACATCCACCAACCTCAATATCGACAAAAATAACTGATCAAGCAGGAAAGAGATAAATTAACCATTGATACCAATAAATATGCAAAAAAAAAAAAATGGAATACAACAAAATAAAAATCGAGGACTCACTGAACCCGTTTTCAACGAGGTAATTGAAGGTGTGGCCGTCGCAATTATAGGTGAACTTGTTGTTGGTAGCAGGTAGTTTCTGGAGGCATTGAGCGGCGATGGAGGTGAAATTCCCCGTGAACTCCGTGTACTCGGCAAGAATCACCGTCCCCCGAGCCACAAAGCTGTAGATCAATGACTGTTGCCCCATTTCTTCTCACCCTCCACTCAAAAACCCTAGCCCCAGAAGAAACCCAAATTAAATTGCAACAAAATAAAATCAGACAGAGAAAGTGAAGATTTGAGAGAGAGAGAGAGAGAGAGAGAATTGAATTCAGATATGGCGTCTCTATATAGATGATTTCACTCAAATTCAATTAAACTTTAATGGATCTCAATGAAATAAATTTGTGGGTATTGAATTTGACCAAATTATAAAGTATTTGAAATGGAGAAGACAAAATTGAGAGTGAGAGAGAGAGAGAGAGAGGTGATACCTGTGAAATGGAATATAGAGGGAGATGGGTAAGGGATTTGGTCCTATACTTTGATGGGAAGGATGCACATAGGAAATTGCGAATCACGCGGTTACTTTGAATTTGAAGGTAGAAAGAGTTGAAGAGTATGCGAAAATGGTACGCATTCAAACCACAGTTTGTCAAATGGGAGAAAAATCAAAAATGTACTTCTCGTTCTTCTAGAAACATGTTTTAATTGTATAAGGTATAATAATGGACATAAAATAATAGGTGTCAATCATGTGTTGTGTCATTTTCAACCGTGTTATTTTTGTGTCGAAACACTTTTAATACGTGTCAGGTTTACGTTAATAAAAAATTATTTATTTTTTTAACAACTCATATAATATTATTTAAAAAAATAAAAAATTCTTATTTTTTGTCTATAATATTTGTTTAAATACTTATTTTTTATTTACAGTATTCATTAATCATATTATTCAAATCAAATCTTAATTTAAACTATTTATTATTCGTGTCAATTAATCGTGTTATTTTTAAATTTTGTATTGAATCAGGTTCGTGTTATTAAATAAAATTTGACTTATAATTTTTGGGGTAAATTACATTCATTTCCCCTGAGATATATCAAAATAAGAAATAGACCCTTCTTGTATAGATAATAGCACTGGCCTCCACCGTTAGTCACACCGTATCTTTTTTCTTTCAGAATTTGTAAGATGACATTAGCTTCCTTCACTAGGTGTGTACCTCTGTCACATACAACACATTGTTGCACTTCTTTTCCACCTACATCACCACCCATCTCCCATCTCCATCTTTGTCACCTTTATCTTTCAGCGCTATCACCATCATCTTTTAACCGTCAATCTCTCTCTTAAACCAATTCCCTCACTGCACACCCCAACCCTTGTACGCCCATCATCTCATTCAAAAGCCATTCTTCTAACTGCACAGTTCATCCACAACTTTTGCAATCTTAGTTGCTTTCTAATTTCGATTAACCTTAACTCCATACTCGAATGTCTTGTTCGTTAATATGATACAATAGATATGATCTCAGCAAGACCTTTTATGGGAGGCCTAACCATACTCCGAATGCATGTGGTTTCTCGAGTGTAGGTTCTCAATTGAATAAAATTTAGGTTCACTTCAAGCTTTTTCCAGATGCAATTGGTTAAAATTAAGGTGGCATTGTTGGTCTATTGTGTGATGCTAGTGGTTTACCTAGTGATGGAGGTGGCAACACTATTTTTCTTCTTTGAAATTCTTCTCTTTCTCTGTATTTAGTTGGGTGATGATATTATGTGTGTATGGGCATTGTTAGTGGCGCAGAGGGCAAGTGTTCAAGGAGGGGTGGGGGGACGTTTGTGATCGTAGGAATGTTTGACAAAGCAACCAATGGTGTATGGTAGTGGCGATGATGATGGTTTGGGGGCTTGGGTGGATAGCCTTCATTGCACATTTGCTGAATTATATTGGGAGATAGAGAAAGAGAGAGCGAAAAGCCTGGTGAAAGGAGATGCCAGAGGACGGAAAGGAGAGAAGAGAGGATGCAGTAGCTGATTGGGGAATGTCAAAAAGTGAGTTTGACAACTATTTTATGTATTTGATAACATGAAAATGGATTTTTTGGCTTTGAGCTAAACTTGTCAATAAATTTTAAAAGAGCAATACTCCCATGTAAAAGAATGAGTTATTCACATCGTCAAATTTGTGACTTCGCATTAACAACTCATAAACGGTTGGGGAATCTATTATAACAATCAAAGCAAAAGATAATGCAATGTTATTATCCAAACAACAAGGGGTTTAGTTGTTATTTGGACACACTCAAGGGAGATGGTGCACGTAAACCCATCTGTTTTGTTTTGATATTTAAATCCCCAGTTNAAAAAAAAAAATTCTATTGACAGATTCCAAAAAAACGAACATTATACACACAGTATAGAGGAGAAACTGCAACCAAAATTTGGCATAAAATTACCCTCAAGCAGTCAAGCTGTTTACCAGTTTCTAGAATTCATTGGTCGACAACAAAATATTTGAATAAAAATCCTATATTGATTCATTGCTATTGGGGCTTCATTTGTAATTTCATAATCTAATTATCCGGGTACACACTCTCAAAACCTTAACATCCCGATTTAAATATATTGTCTATCCTACATAATTGGTAAACAATCAAAACCTCTTCTACGTATGGGTATAAATACATGTACCTATATGTATCTATGCTCATAAATCACGAAATTCAATAAACGAATCAAAATGAACAGTTGAATAATCAAAACACATCCACCAACCTCAATATCGACAAAAATAACTGATCAAGCAGGAAAGAGATAAATTAACCATTGATACCAATAAATATGCAAAAAAAAAAAAATGGAATACAACAAAATAAAAATCGAGGACTCACTGAACCCGTTTTCAACGAGGTAATTGAAGGTGTGGCCGTCGCAATTATAGGTGAACTTGTTGTTGGTAGCAGGTAGTTTCTGGAGGCATTGAGCGGCGATGGAGGTGAAATTCCCCGTGAACTCCGTGTACTCGGCAAGAATCACCGTCCCCCGAGCCACAAAGCTGTAGATCAATGACTGTTGCCCCATTTCTTCTCACCCTCCACTCAAAAACCCTAGCCCCAGAAGAAACCCAAATTAAATTGCAACAAAATAAAATCAGACAGAGAAAGTGAAGATTTGAGAGAGAGAGANTAGCCCCAGAAGAAACCCAAATTAAATTGCAACAAAATAAAATCAGACAGAGAAAGTGAAGATTTGAGAGAGAGAGAATTGAATTCAGATATGGCGTCTCTATATAGAAGATTTCACTCAAATTCAATTAAACTTTAATGGATCTCAATGAAATAAATTTGTGGGTATTGAATTTGACCAAATTAAAAAGTATTTGAAATGGAGAAGACAAAATTGAGAGAGAGAGAGAGAGAGGTGATACCTGTGAAATGGAATATAGAGGGAGAAGGGTAAGGGATTTGGTCCTATACTTTGATGGGAAGGATGCACATAGGAAATTGCGAATCACGCGGTTACTTTGAATTTGAAGGTAGAAAGAGTTGAAGAGTATGCGAAAATGGTACGCATTCAAACCACAGTTTGTCAAATGGGAGAAAAATCAAAAATGTACTTCTCGTTCTTCTAGAAACATGTTGTAATTGTACAAGGTATAATAATGGACATAAAATAATAGGTGTCAATCATGTGTTGTGTCATTTTCAACCTTGTTATTTTTGTGTCGAAACACTTTTAATACGTGTCAGGTTTACGTCAATAAAAAATTATTTATTTTTTTAACAACTCATATAATATTATTTAAAAAAATAAAAAATTCTTATTTTTTGTCTATAATGTTTGTTTAAATACTTATTTTTTATTTACAGTATTCATTAATCGTATTATTCAAATCAAATCTTAATTTAAACTATTTATTACTCGTGTCAATTAATTGTGTTATTTTTAAATTTTGTATTGAATCAGGTTCGTGTTATTAAATAAAATTTGACACTCTATAAAATAAGATATTCTCCCCCCCCCCCCCCCCCCCCCCGGGGGGGTCCCCATGACCCTTCTTGTTTAGATAATAGCACTGGCCTCCACCGTTAGTCACACCGTATCTTTTTTCTTTCAGAATTTGTAAGATGACAATAGCTTCCGTCACTATGTGTGTACCTCTGTCACATACAACACATTGTTGCACTTCTTTTCCACCTACATCACCACCCATCTCCCATCTCCATCTTTGTCACCTTTATCTTTCAGCGCTATCACCATCATTTTCTAACCGTCAATCTCTCTCTTAAACCAATTCCCTCACTGCACACCCCAACCCTTGTACGCCCATCATCTCATTCAAAAGCCATTCTTCTAACTGCACAGTTCATCCACAACTTTTGCAATCTTAGTTGCTTTCTAATTTCGATTAACCTTAACTCCATACTCGAATGTCTTGTTCGTTAATATGATACAATAGATATGATCTCAGCAAGACCTTTTATGGGAGGCCTAACCATACTCCGAATGCATGTGGTTTCTCGAGTGTAGGTTCTCAATTGAATAAAATTTAGGTTCACTTCAAGCTTTTTCCAGATGCAATTGGTTAAAATTAAGGTGGCATTGTTGGTCTATTGTGTGATGCTAGTGGTTTACCTAGTGATGGAGGTGGCAACACTATTTTTCTTCTTTGAATTTCTTCTCTTTCTCTGTATTTAGTTGGGTGATGATATTATGTGTGTATGGGCATTGTTAGTGGCGCAGAGGGTAAGTGTTCAAGGAGGGGTGGGGGGACGTTTGTGATCGTAGGAATGTTTGACAAAGCAACCAATGGTGTATGGTAGTGGCGATGATGATGGTTTGGGGGCTTGGGTGGATAGCCTTCATTGCACATTTGCTGAATTATATTGGGAGATAGAGAAAGAGAGAGCGAAAAGCCTGGTGAAAGGAGATGCCAGAGGACGGAAAGGAGAGAAGAGAGGATGCAGTAGCTGATTGGGGAATGTCAAAAAGTGAGTTTGACAACTATTTTATGTATTTGATAACATGAAAATGGATTTTTTGGCTTTGAGCTAAACTTGTCAATAAATTTTAAAAGAGCAATACTCCCATGTAAAAGAATGAGTTATTCACATCGTCAAATTTGTGACTTCGCATTAACAACTCATAAACGGTTGGGGAATCTATTATAACAATCAAAGCAAAAGATAATGCAATGTTATTATCCAAACAACAAGGGGTTTAGTTGTTATTTGGACACACTCAAGGGAGATGGTGCACGTAAACCCATCTGTTTTGTTTTGATATTTAAATCCCCAGTTAAATATGTATGCATGATTATCTAGGTTAGTAAATTTGAGGTTGAGAATAGTTTCCATTGGAAGTAATTTTAAAAATTTTGGGGGATAAACAAGGGAATACATAAAGTGATAATGTAGATATTTTTAAATTAAAATAACTTGGTAAATGAATATGAGAGGTCGAAAAATATTGAAAAATGTGAACGGGTTGAGTTTGAGGTACTAGAGGTAAAATAGAAATTTAGTGAATTGAAAGTTTTGCAATAAAATTATTTGGGCAGAGAGTTTTGCCACTCGACCAACTATGCAATCTGGTTACCCACTTGATTTGGGTAAATGTTTGAATTTCTCTTAATTTGGTATGATTTTGAGTATAAGATTGAAAAAGATTTTTAAGGGATTTTTTTTACTTATATTTAAATTTGAATAAAAAAAAATAAGGGTTAGAGATGCGCTAAAAGCAATGAATTTTGAGGCTCAACTTTATTTCTTTTTTGAATTTTGTATTTTTTTTTTATTTTTAATGAACGCAGGTCTTGTTCCACTGAGAAGGTTACTTCATATTCATTTGAATTTTAGAATCAAGTTAGAATAACAATTTCGCAATAAATGGAATAAGACTTTATATATTTAATCATCACAAATTTTCAATTTCAAATGTTCAATGTTACGAAAAAATCGTCAAAAAACTAAGTACTAAACCCTGAAGAAATTCATTTGAACCCAAATCATAAAATCTGTCAACATAGTGCATCACACCAAACTATGATTAAGCTTTAGTTCATTTGAAGCAAATGCGTGGGTATACGTGTGCAAGTGCAAATGCATGTGTTTTCTTTTTATATTAAATATTTTAAATTTTATAATCAAAATTCATGTTCTATTGTATCATTTATTAAAATAAAATTATTTTTTTCTTAAAAAATAGTAATTAGTATAATTATACTTTTTTTAGTATAATTATATTATCTATTGAAATACAATTTAAAAAAAATCAAACAAATGGTCTAAATCATTCATAATAGAATATAAATTTTACAACTAAAATTCATATTTTATTATGTCATTTATTGAAATATAATCAAAAATAAAAATCTAATTATTTTCTTAAAAAATCATAATTAGTATACAGTTATACTATCTATTGAAATAAAAATTAAAAAATAAAACAAAGGGAAAAACTTAATGAACATAATATTTTCTAATNAATTATACTATCTATTAAAATAAAAATTAAAAAATAAAACAGAGGGAAAAACTTAATGAACATAATATTTTCTAATTTTAATTGGGGTAATTTGGTAGTTTAATTTGGTTGTTTAAACGACCAAATTAAATTCCAATAGATAGTATAATTGCATACTAATTATGATTTTTTTAAAAAAATTAGATTTTTATTTTAATAAATGTCATAATAGAACAAGAATTTTTGTTGTAAATTTTAAAATATTTGATATTTTATCTTTAATTAGAGTATTTTTGATTTAAGTATAATATTTTAAACTTGAGGGGTCTAAGTATTATACGTCTACAAATTTCAGGAGGTCTGAGTGTAATTTATTAACGGATATACAAATGGACCTTGACGACAAAGGTTTAAGTGTTACGCATTTACAAACTTCAAGGGGTTTGTATGTAATATTTCAAATGTCAAGAGACCTAAGTGATTATGTGATAAAATTCAAGGGGGTCTAAGTGTAATTCTTTAATTTTTTGTTCAAAAAAAATAGGTGAGAGTAAAGGAGAGCGTCCAGATAGAGATGACGGTGGACCGTGGGATAGGGGGCAGATGCATGAGGAGTAGTCTCCAGTCTATACCCGTTTCAAAAATATTCGTTCACCTTTCTTAACAAGGGAAATTTAAAGGTAAATTTTTATTCCCGCCATTATTCCCATTCATACACAATTAAATTTTATAATTTAAAAAAAAATTTGAAAACAAAAATCTCACAAAATAGTTTGAAAAGAAGAATGAAAGCCCATTATATAACAAATAGATAAAAAAAAAAAAAGAGAAAGTAAAGATTTTTTTTTTTTTTGGTAAAAAGAATAGTGTTAGGGTGGGTGAGATTTGTGATATTATATATATGTATTATATATAAGTATCATGAGTTTAGCGAGGTGGGGTGGAAAGGGGTGGGGATGAGTTTCAGTCTGTTCCCACATGAGTTTATATGAGTGTTTTCGCATACGTCCACCATTCAATATGAATAATCTATCATAGGTTCAAACGATGCAAGTTTGGATGAATATTTATTTATTTTTAGTCCACTGCTATCCCTATCGATAAGTTCTTACCTGTAAAATTATGAGACTCTTGATCAAGTTCGTTACTCTTTTTGAGAATGAACTTTATAAGGTTAGTATAACGATTAATCATCGACCTCTAATATAAATTTTAATATTCGAAACTCTAATTTGGAGGTGAAAAATTTTGTTAGTATACCAGTAGAGTACGNCGGGAGTTTATAAGAGTGTTTTCGCATACGTCCACCATTCAATATGTATAGTCTATCATAGGTTTAAACGATGCAGGTTTGGATGAATATTTATTTATTTTTAGTCTACTGCTATCCCTATCGATAAGTTCTTACCTGTGAAATTATGAGACTCTTGATCAAGTTCGTTACTCTTTTTGAGAATGAACTTTATAAGGTTAGTATAACGATTAATCACCGACCTCTAATATAAATTTTACTATTCGAAACTCTAATTTGGAGGTGAAAAATTTTGTTAGTATACCAGTAGAGTACGCCACTCGATGATGCATACATGCTTGTGCAAAACCGTAGTCAAACTCGAATAGCCTAAGGCGTCTAGGAAGAAGGGCAATTTGATATTAGACAAGGGTAATTTGGTAATTAAGAAAGGAGTTCCCCTTCATGCTTTTTTCCGCTTCGTCCTCTTCACTTTCCCGCCAAAATTCACTTCCCTATCTCTGTTTCTCTTTCTTCCTCACAAGTCACAAACACTCGCACTCACTCACATAGANAGGGGATGGGGAAAAGGTAGAGGTTTCGATTAGTTGCCCAAAAAAGGAAAAAAAAAATGCCTTTGGAGTAACACAAGGGCAATTTGATATTAGACAAGGGTAATTTGGTAATTAAGAAAGGAGTTCCCCTTCATGCTTTTTTCCGCTTCGTCCTCTTCACTTTCCCGCCAAAATTCACTTCCCTATCTCTGTTTCTCTTTCTTCCTCACAAGTCACAAACACTCGCACTCACTCACATAGATCCCTCATCTCCAACCTCAACACTAACCGCCCATAGTCATGGACATGGACATGGACGTTCCTTTACCAGAGGAGCTCGAATTCCTAGAAGCCAACGACTCTCATCTCCATGACTACTTTGACGACTACGACGACCTCGAACCAGATCAACCCTACCCAGAAGAAGAAAGCGAAGACCCAGTTCACAAACACCCCCCAAATCCAAATCCACAACTACCCCCAAAACCCACACTTTCAATCCCGCCCAAACCCAACCCAATTTCAGACCAATCCCACATCCAAATCAGCAGTAAGAAAAGGTTCCGATCCGACTGCCCACATTCATCCAATCTTGAAAATGTGGGCCCGCCAGAGGATAACGCGGCTTCATTGGAGGAGAAGAGGAGTAGAACTGATGAAGTTGACGAAGATTGGCTTCGGTACTCGCCGTCGCGCCGCCAAAATGAGGAGGTCTCTACGGTGGTGGTGGAGGAGGAGAAGTTTGTCTCGAGATATGCGTCGGACATAGATGGCGATTGTGTGTCAGTGACGGGACCGGATGGTGAGAGGGTTTACGCTAAAATAAGTAGGTTTGGGAAGGAGGTTACGTCGAAGAAATTGGAAATGAAAGCTCACTCAATTGGTAATATCCCTATTTATCTGTCTATTCAATAGTTTTTAGATAGAGTTATGAATTGTGAAATTTGGGTGTTTCTGGTAGATGGTAATATACCTAAGTGTGAGCTAAAACGACTGGTTGGCTCAGTTAAGCTTGTAAGACTACGATTAATTGGATTATCTATATGGAGTTTCGTTGCAGAGGAAATATGGGAATGAAATGGAGCTTAAATTTTTTAATATCTGAATTGTGCGGCAGAAAACAGCGTTTGTCTCAGTTATGATGAATTCTTATATGTTGAACACCAAAACAACTTTGAATATTTGTTCATTGTTATTGTTATCGGCAACAAACTAGCCTAAATTTTTAAAATTTAGATTTTGTTGGCGATTTTGGTTGTTTTGTAGTTGTCAGTTATTCAAGATACACACACTCATTGGTGGGAATGCTTTTGCGTGTTTCATAGAATAAATGTGGTTTGACAGTGATTTATGATATTCACACTTATTTGATAATATTAGTAGACAAGGAAAGCTATTAGCCTCCTATCTGATTGGCAGACATACAAAATATAAACTTTTAATTGACATCTTTAAGTTTTCATGGGGACATTTTGGGTGGCTATGCAACTCCCCTCCCTACCATATGAAAAATTAAAAAAATATTGCAACAAGAAAAGGTAAATGGCATAGTATACCAATAAGTAGTTGAGGTAATCCATAATCATGTATTTAGAATGCCACTTTGTATTGTGAAAATTTAGTTTATGGTGTAGGTTGTCTATATAATTTTATTTCAAAATTTATTGTCTAATTTAACTAGTGAATGGAGCTCTAGAACGCAATCATGGTGGTCCTCTTTTGCCTTTCTTTCTATTGTGTAGTATCCGTAGCGTTTCTTTCTATTGCTTGGAGAATTTGGAAGTTGTGCAATGCCATGCACTACATTGCTAGGCGGCATGTATATGGACACGGGGATACGATAAAATTTAAAAATATAGGATACGGGTATGACAGGAATATGTCTAATTAAAATAATAATAATAATGGAATTGTACCCTATTAAAAGCAAAAAATATTTATAACAATATTAATAATAAGACCTAACATATAATTTTTTGATTAAAATTGAAATAGATTAAAATAAACATCTACTATTTTCGTCAAATATCATTACATTCATTAACATCCATAGTCTATAAGTTACTACACAAAAAGAGCAAAAACAAAATAAAATAAAATAATTCTGTACCCCTTTTATTTGTTAATAGTCGTGAGGTTAAAAAAAATCCTGACGGTGTTTTGACTGTGTCCAGTGTTATTTAAGGTGTACAGTGAATCGAAGCGAATCGGTCTCCTGAGTGCTTAGGCAAGAAGCTTCTGAGTGCTTATGCAAAAAGCGAGAAGTGAAGCGAGTGTTTCATCAAAGCAAAACGAACAATATAAAAAATAAACAAATATTTTAGTTTGATACTTTGATTACTCCTAAATATTCAAGTTTTAACTTTACAAATGCAAAATATTTAAATGCAACTAGAATAATAAACATCAACATATTTTAAATAGATAAGATATTAAATATTGAATATTATTACATTCTAAAAATAATCAATTGACATAATTACGTCATCTAATTGTAAGGCTAGCAAATGTGGGTTCGACTTTCATTGTGATTGATTAATATCACCACTAAACAGGGCACTCACAAATTGATTAATCAAATAGAGCATATAACAAATTGATTAACTAAGAAAATTGATTAATAAGAGCATTCATATCAAAACCGAGCATTCAACATCATCTAATTATAATAAGATAGATTATTATATGATACTGTTAGATGAATCAATCAATTTATTTTATATAGATACACATATAATATCATCTCTGCTAGGATTTAGTTTATGTTAAGGAAGGAGCAGGAGGAGTGGGGAATAGGAGGAGGGGAAGAAAATAAAAAAATTGCAGTCAGGTGTTCGCTTTTCTTGCCTAACTCGTTTCTTCGCCGAGGCTCATTTTTTCCTCACTTTCCTTAACCTTGCTTCACCTTGGACATTCAAGGTGACCAAGGCTCGCTTTGTTTCGTTTCTCGCCTAATCTCGCTTTTCATAACATTGATTGTGTTCTAGTCATGTCTAATTGAAAAAATTAAAAATTTGACTTAATTTGTTAACATGATGATGTGATTTCATTGTAACTGTTAGATTAACACCAAATTTTAATACTTGATGGGTCCTACACTCAATCTAATGATTATAGTAAATTATTATTCAGGATAGCATTACTCAAAAACAAAATTTACTATTTAGGGTACTCATAGCCATGTCTGACGCTGCTATGACACCTCTCCGACAAGTATTCGTGTTTCCTATTACTACAAAAATTTTTAGACTATTGTTCACAGGAAAACTTTAAGTACCTGTGCTGTTAATTTAAGCTGGCTATCCACTTTGCAGGTCTTATTCCGGAACCTATCAATGTTCTAATGCAGAAAGTGGAACATGNTTATGTTAAGGAAGGAGCAGGAGGAGTGGGGAATAGGAGGAGGGGAAGAAAATAAAAAAATTGCAGTCAGGCGTTCGCTTTTCTTGCCTAACTCATTTCTTCGCCGAGGCTCGTTTTTTCCTCACTTTCCTTAACCTTGCTTCGCCTGGGACATTCAAGGTGACCAAGGCTCGCTTTGTTTCGTTTCTCGCCTAAGCTCGCTTTTCATAACATTGACTGTGTTCTAGTCATGTCTAATTGAAAACATTAAAAATTTGACTTAATTTGTTAACATGATGATGTGATTTCATTGTAACTGTTAGATTAACACCAAATTTTAATACTTGATGGGTCCTACACTCAATCTAATGATTATAGTAAATTATTATTCAGGATAGCATTACTCAAAAACAAAATTTACTATTTAGGGTACTCATAGCCATGTCTGACGCTGCTATGACACCTCTCCGACAAGTATTCGTGTTTCCTATTACTACAAAAATTTTTAGACTATTGTTCACAGGAAAACTTTAAGTACCTGTGCTGTTAATTTAAGCTGGCTATCCACTTTGCAGGTCTTATTCCGGAACCTATCAATGTTCTAATGCAGAAAGTGGAACATGATGCTTTAACGAAGGTATGATTGACATGATATAGTCCATGCTTTGAATAATGAAATTTCACGAATGTTTGACTCCCTAGTCCTAAAATGGCAGGATGAAAAACCAGATTGTTTGCTTTAGTCTATGCCTAACCTTCTCATTTGGTTTTTGTTTATAAAACTTCTCCCACTGAAGCATTAAGGTAATGTTATTACTGATTACCAATATGTTATATGTAGTTTTACTTTTTTTAAATCATTTGGTGACCATTTGCTAAAACAATCAAGCAGAGTATATGTTTTACTCAAGTTTTTTTTTTTCTCCCAATAAAAGAAAACAACACCAGGTTAGAAAAGATACAAATTTAAAAAACTTGGATTTATTTATAAAGAAGAATCAGTTAACCTTGGTGCAAGTTTTTCAATGTACAAAAATCGCTCGTACAAGAGCATACGGTTTATTCAAGTTTTTTTAGTCCCACTAAATGAAAACAACCAGGTTGGAAAAGATAAAAAGTTGAAAAAACCTAGAATTATATTTAAAAAAAAAAAATCAGTAAATTCCGTTACTGAATGTTAACAGTTTTTCACGCAGCCAACCTTGGTGCAAGTTAAGTGATACATCATTTTCTAACTTGAATCCACAGACGACTGACAAAAAAAATTGCTTCATCCCAATGGCTAGGATATTGACTTCTTATGAACCTGAAGTTTTGTCTAAGAAAATGGTAGACGTCCTGAGATGGAGTGATTCATTGTTACTGTAGGGTCTAAAAATTCTGGTAATTTTGCTACTGCATTGATTTTTACTCCTAAGCTTTCTTAAAACTCTTTTTTTTTTTTGTGGGGATGCTGAAGGCTTTGCATGCTAGTGTTGAAGGTCAGAGTGATGTAATTCTTCCAGAAATGCCTGTTGTCAAGGAGCAACTTTGGGTGGATAAATATGCTCCAAATTCGTTTTTGGAGCTTCTCAGTGATGAACAGACAAATCGCGAGGTATATGAAACACTTATAGTGTAATTTTGAGTCCAAGCTAGAAGTTTAAAGGACATTTTGTTTAGGGGATGCTACTTGATTTAGACTTTAANTGTAGTGTAATTTTGAGTCTGTTATTTTTGTACTTCTTTCTCTCTTCATTAATTTGCACATTTTGAGTCCTCTATTCAGCTAGAAGTTTAAAGGACATTTTGTTTAGGGGATGCTACTTGATTTAGACTTTAATGCTACACGTTGAAGACAATGATTTCATTGGTTAAATCTGTATTGTTGCTGTTCTGCAGGTCCTTTTGTGGTTGAAACAATGGGATTCTTGTGTTTTTGGATGTGACATAAAGACTACAACAGATGATGTCTTGTCTGATTTGAGGCGACATTCTTCAGTTGCTCAGCGTCCGAAATTTTCTAATATGAGTTCTTTTGCAAAAAGTAGAGAACCTAGATTCCACAAAGAAAGTTTTAACATTTGTAATAATTTGGATCAAGAAGGAAGTGTTCCAAAAGGTATTCAGGAGCCATGGAACAAGAAGCACAAGGGTTCTGGTCCACCAGAGCAGAAGGTCAGATATAAGAAATGTTTGACTCAAAATCCTGTCAGTTTATATATGATAGGATGCATTTCCCTTGGGTTGAATTCCAAAAGATTCTGTTAGTTTCTGCTCATAGTGTAAGTGGTGTTATTTTTCATCCTGAAATGCTCAAGTTAGTGGCATGACTGTTCCTCTGTTGTGGATTTACATTTTTTCATGGTGGGCTTGTTTACAGGTCCTTCAACTTTTCTATAATTTCTATGTGCTATTTTTATTACAATATTAGTATGGACTGCATGCATTCATTGCATTCAATTTCAGGCAAGTGTTTCATTTATCTCTTTATAAAAAATTATAAAGCTTCATAAAGATGTGCCAAATTGTATATTTAGCCCCAACTTGGCAAGAGAGGACAAGGGTTGTAAGGCTAGGGAATTTGAAAGCTACATAAATATGTCCTAAATTGTATATTTAGCTTTTAATTTGCAAGAGAGGACATGGATAGTAAGGCTAACTTTTTTATATAAACTGAAAAAGTTGCGGGAATGAAAACACTGGAAAATTCTAGAGAACTTGGAAGTAATAACCTCACTCACTCAGTATTGAAAGACATGGATTGGGATTCCTGAGAAGATACAAGAGCGTACCTAATTGGATGCTTTCCTCATATCGTGTCAACTAATCAGAAATCAAAAGTATTTTTTTCTGCCTCATCCGTAGGTTTCCTACATTTGGGTGAAGGACAATCTTTGCTATTCTGCAGCACAATGGGTTTGGGTAGGTGATAGAAAAATTGATATACATGGAGATTGTTTTGGGTGGAACTTGTCGGTTTTTTTTTTGTTTGGAGATTATGACCATGGATGCCAATGTTATTAGGGAATTGTATGAAGTAGTAGTATTCAGAGACAAAGTGGTGGATGCACTAATTCTCAAGATTTATCTGGCAATTTTGAACGTAATCTGTGAATTATTGCACGATATGATTTTCAGTTTTCTTATCTTTTAGCTAGCCGCTTTGGGAATTTACAAAGAGTGTAACTCGCAAGAACATAACGATCACATCTCATATGGCCACCTTATATTGCAGACCGGACTTAAAAAAGTTATGGTATGTTTAGGTGCATCCTGTGTAATAGATATCTTTACTGGCCCTAAATGTGACATTCTAATATAATCCAGTCAATACGCTTTACTAAATGATCACCTACAATGTAGATAGTGCCATGGGATGCACTAACTTGTTTCAGAAGTGAGAAAACCTTCAGTTGAAAAAGGTTTTTGCATATGTATAATGTACATGGAATATAAACTTCCTTTTGAGATAGGCAGATTATTTTGGCAACGGGAATGCACTGCAATGAGGATCATGAATCATAAGTTGCCTTGGTTTTGTTCTACCCTTCTACCTATTTCACAGTCTATGCTTTCATTTCGTTGTTTTGGGGTTCATATCTCTTCTTTTTATCGTGGGGGTTATAATTTTGTCTTAAGTTCTTATTTATTCAATATACATTTCGCTTATATTTTTCGGATTTCTTGTAGAATTCAGTGACACATAAACACTGCCTGTTATTTTTACTGCTACTAACCTCCAAAAGTAGGTAGCAACCTTCAAAGATTCTTATGATTTCTTGTTTTTTTATCAGTTTATTCCTTGGGGTTGTTATCTGCTCTCTCTCTCTCTCTCTCTCTTATTTTGATTTTTAAAGGTTATAAGTTATAACTGTTAGAAATTGAATCTTGTGACCATTGCAGATTCTTCTGCTTTGTGGACCCCCAGGGCTTGGAAAGACAACACTTGCACATGTGGCTGCCAGACATTGTGGATATCGTGTGGTGGAGGTCTTGTTTGTTACTTGTTTTCACACTTGAACATGAGTACTATCAGCTTTATTATCAAAAGTCGACTGTATTCTCCCTGCATGCATTCATATGAAAGTGAAATATAAATTGTTACAATGTAGAGTAAGATTGTTGCTTCATGGTAGCTACACACTTCTTGATTGTAGACTATGCCATTTGCTCATCATGTAAAAAATTTCTGTGGTATGTGTTGTTAGCTGTATATTTCATTCTACATCTTATTCTATATTCTCACAATTGTGAGGTTTGTATTTATTTGGTTAGCTCCTTGTTTGTACTGATGTATCATGCTTCCATGCGCACAAACTTCATTTTTTCCTTATTGCTTTTTCTAAAGTATATTCGTTAGCGTTGCCCCTGATATGAGAGTGCTCAAGTTTGCTGGGCCAAGAACATTTCTGAAGTCTTTAATTAAGTAGGGTAGAGTATATGCTACACTGATAGTGTAAGGCCTCCACAATTATTACGTGAACCATGTGGGGACTTTCCGCTGATTCTAATTTGTGAGTGTTAGCATGATTGGGTTTTGGGAGTTGCTGGGTCAAGTATAAATTCTTTGTTTTTCCCATTCAGTTGTCGAGGTATTTATGTTCAGTTTACTGGTAGAGTGTGATTGTGTGTTTGTTCCTTCACATTCTAGTGGATTTAACCCACCAGGGAGGGTGTTAAGCTTCTCCCACATAATACTGTAATTCCTCATCACTACTGTATAAGTTACCTGGGTCTGGCCAATTGGTTATATATATTATACGTATTTATTAGGAATGTGATTCTGCACAGATTAATGCAAGTGATGATCGGTCGTCATCAACCATTGAAGCGAAAATCGTTGATGTGGTTCAGATGAACTCTGTCATGGGTGACTCGAAGCCAAAGTGCTTGGTGAGTTTCATTTTTTCAACAGTTGTCAATTTCTTTTATATGTGTACCAACATAATTGACAGCTTATTCTATAGGTAATTGATGAAATAGATGGAGCTCTGGGTGAAGGCAAGGGTGCAGTGGAGGTTATTCTGAAGATGGTAACTTTTAGTCTTTATGTAGTCACTTCTATTTTTGTTTGCCAAGACTAGTAGATCTGAAGAGCAGAGAGAAACTATATTCCTATATCATGTTCCCATTAGTGTCAGCTCATAGTAAAGACTCACATATTTGTATGGACTACTATTCCTTCCATTGAATCCAATAGGTAAAATCCTTCAAATACTGCCATTTCTTACCACAAGGGAATATGCATGCCTAAGATAATTGTATGGTTCTCAATCCCGCATAAACCATATGGTTCTCAATCTCGTAAACCATTCTGACTCAAAATCTGTCTATGAAGTGCCATATAGCAAATCATCATAAAGTAATCAGAACAAGGAGCTGAATGTATAGACATTGAACAGCAGAACAGTATAAAAATCTGCTGCTTTTTATAATTCTCTCTTATTTGTATAATCTTCCTTTTTGACTTTGCATATTTATTCGTAAGCATATATTTAAGGATTCTATGATTATAGACTGCAAGTTTGAGGGAATTAGTTAGAATTAGGAGTTTGTTAGCTGCTTTTGTGATTGTGAATAGACTTTAATGCTAATCTAACATCTTCAAATCCTCAGTGGTTATACATATTTTGTCTTTGAAATGCCAATTTAATGATCTTTGAGAATACTTAATACTCAAATACAAAAGCATTAGAACCATGGGCTTCTCAGATAAAACNTCTGTTGTCTTTGAAATGCCAATTTAATGATCTTTGGGAATACTTAATACTCAAATACAAAAGCATTAGAACCATGGGCTTCTCAGATAAAACCTATAGCTCTGAATGTACACGTGTTAAGCAATTTGTAACACCCTCACCCCATTCATAGGTCCAAATAACCTCAATTTTTTAAATAAAACATCTTTGCAAAAGTGTTATTAATATAACTCTAGTGGTTAAATATGCGATTATTACATAGGTTGTCAATTAAGTTCATGACAGAAGCACTTTTAGCCAATAACTCCAATTTTGACTTTTCTTCATTGTCTTGAAACCTATCTCCCCTCCGATTCAACCTACAACCGATGATATAACAGGGTGAGTTGGGATTTCTAGTAAGTAGAATAACTTCACAATATGAGAATACTACAAAGAATCAATGTGCCAATACAAAAAATGATGATATAAACATCAAATATCTCAAAAATGACATCATTGTTAACAAAAGNATGACAGAAGCACTTTTAGCCAATAACTCCAATTTTGACTTTTCTTCATTGTCTTGAAACCTATCTCCCCTCTGATTCAACCTACAACCGATGATATAACAGGGTGAGTTGGGATGCCTAGTAAGTAGAATAACTTCACAATATGAGAATACTACAAAGAATCAATGTGCCAATACAAAAATGATGATATAAACATCAAATATCTCAAAAATGACATCATTGTTAACAAAAGTACGCCCAACATACGACGTCATTGGAGAACTGGACATTGACTGGCACCCATATCAATGTGTTCCTATGGATCTTTTGGACTGGTGATACATTGAATTTTTGGCTATTATGCTCCAGTCCCCAATCCATACAAAACATGATCAACATACTCACTTTGTTTAAATAAGAATTTCAAACTGATAACAATCCAATCAATGGGAGTAAAAATGAGGAATATGGAAGAATTGCTTCTAGGAGCATATTACAATAACCTCTCTTACCCCAACTAGGTATGATAACCAAGATGTCATGAATATCTTACTTAAATCCCATAACAATCACATCAAAAACTCACCTTTTGATTCTTCTCCTAACTTTTCGAATTTCCTTTGATTTCATCTTGCATTTTCCTTGATTTCTTCTCTGCTGATTCTTCCTTCATTTCCTTGTAATGGTTTTAGAGAACCGTCCATGAAGTAATGTATATTACTTCATAACACGAAACACCTGATATCTATATGCACATAGCCAAACCACCAATTGCGGACAAGTGTCCATCCTTTATCGTTATTTNTCATATCTATGCACATAGCCAAACCACCAATTGCGGACAAGTGTCCATCCTTTATCGTTATTTTTATAGTGATTTTGAAATCTAACTTAAGTTAGACACATAGAGGACACTAAGCCAAAACATCAATGGAATGGCTGGCTCCTCATGTCAAATTTAAGCTTCTACACTTTTCACCCTTTCATGTTTTATGATTACATTCTGACCCAAAAATAAAATTTTAGCACTTCCAATAATTATGGTCTTACCCCTAGTTGTCCCATAATTTTTTATCTGGATGGGATGTTACACACTTCTGTCTTTTTGGAAATTTAGTCCCCAAAATTACGCAAACCGATGAGCTAAATGCTTGTGCTGCGGACTTTGACACAGATTATTTATTAGTAATTAGTTTTTCCATGGCCCATCCCAAATATCAAACATAGTACAAGGGCCTTCCAATTTTTTAATTGTGTCCAGTTTGGAGGGAATTACATTTATCTCTTGTCTAGTCCCCATTTTGGGGCATGTGATACACAAACTGTTTATTCAGACTGGAATTCTGACAGTGGCAAATTATTCCAAAATCATACAGGGGTTATGTGCTTATTGTTAAGTTTTTTTTTTTTTTTTTGGGGGGGGGGTAAAGTGCTACATGGTCAAACCACTAGGGGATAAAATGGAATTTGCCCAATTTTCAAAAGACCAAGTGACATAAATGTCATCTTGTTAGTTTTAGACGTTACTAGTCGCATAAGAAGAATGGAGAATTATTTTTCTCTTATTTATATTATAATCCTTGTCTGTATTAGTTGACCATGCTTTAATTATTAGCTGTTAAGGATCACTTTTCTGCTATCTCAAGTCAAAATTGTACCCTGAACTGCAGCATCTTAGAAGTTGTATTGTTTCAAGTGAAAAATTTGAGAGATTAGGTGATCTAACTTATGAACAATGTGACATGAAATATTAATACTTATATTTTTCTATTGACTCCGCCTAAAAGTGGCTTTTGTACTTTATCATGGTGATTTTTATTATGCATTGAAGGATAGTTTATTTCTGAACAATAATGGTAAATGTGCTGTTGATGCAGGCCTCTGCTGAAAGGAAAACTGATACCGGAAAGGAAAATGTATCTCACGAGGAACAGTCAGGGAGGCAGTCCTCAAAAAGAAAGCAAAAGAATGCATCACTAATAAGACCTGTGAGATTTATGGGGTTATAAATTGTCATTTGTCCTTTTTCTTAATACTTAACTTTTTTTTGAACAGTTCTTAATACTTAACTGGGTGGCATTGGATGTGTAGGTGATTTGCATTTGTAATGAACTCTATGCACCTGCCTTGAGGCCATTGCGTCAGGTGGCAAAGTAAGTTTTCTGATGCCCAGGTCTAAAATATCACATGCAATATAGATTTGAATTTTGTAGGTGTCAAAAATTGTACCAAAGAAGCCTTATAGTTCAATCTGTACCCTCAGTTAGCATTAACTGCAGTTTCCATACATAAACAATCTCATTTTTTTTTCTTCAAGTTCTACCTAAACTCTCATGTTGATTTCCACATCATATCTACTTTTATCAGGTTCTAGCTGTGTATAGGGTTGATTCGGAAGACTACGATAAACACATTTGTATGACTGGAAGGGACATTAAATTTAAATCATCATATCAATATAATATATTGTCATTCAAAAAACAGAATGTGCACTTTATGAATAATTGGCTTGGTTTCAGAAAAACATAAAGCCCCGTGCTCTACTGCATATGTTACCTTACACATGACAATTTAAATAGAATTTTACATCTAGATCATGCAAGCATGGTATGCAGTCAAAAACAAAGAAATGTATAGGTATTTGATATGCTATTTATTCCTCTTGATTTGTCTTTTGGTCTGCCAAGTCACCCTGAGAATGCTCTCTCTCCCACCCTCAAATTATTGTTGCACTGTTGCAGGAACTCTTTGATTTACAATTTTTTATTCAGGTTGAAATGAGGCAATAATAGAACTTTTATGCCACTTCATGCTCTGGGCATTACAGCACTGCAATTAGTTGGATTGCATACGATAGAAGGCAAAGTTCATGGTTTATTGGCTTTCGTAAATTATATAGATAAAATTGATAAGGCCTGACATACATGGAACACATACATTGGCATGTTTCTAAAATCAGATGATCATGAGCATTATACCACATTGAAGTGCTTTTATGTCTAAGTAATTTTCTTCGTTGGCAGGGTTCTTATATTCGTTCAGCCAACAACAAGTCGAGTTGTCAGCAGGTAGTGATTTATGCTTTCCTGTTTAATTACTCTTACCGTGCTACTTCTCTGTATTGAAGCGAGCCATGTTATCCGATATTGTTTCCTGATTTGGGTTTGATTTGAATTCACCACACACAAGCAGAGGTCTTAGTTATGATTTGGTGGCATTCAGCATCTAGAGTTTTGTTCAGTACTAAGAATATGTTGTTTTGCATGAAAATAATAGTTTAGCAGTCCAACACAGGGGATAGAAAAATGATAGAGACAGGTATTGGATGTTGAGATTCAGAAAATGTAATTCGAAATATGTGCTGTGTATAATACAAGATATTTAATTGCTGTTATCCTTCTGTGGTTGTACGCAGGTATAACAAAAGCCTTTTCTTTTCTCTCCTCTAATTGTCATTCTTTGTCTTTTATTGATTTAAATAACCTACAGATATTTCAAAAAGGTAAAGGTCATCTTCACCCTAGTAAATACTTAAATACAAAATATCTTTAATTATGTGTGTGTATATGTATCTATATCTATATCTATACTACTAATAAAAGTACTTTAGCATAGAAAATTTTTGATTCACTATTTTACAATTATAAAGACTTCTAAATGTCACATTATCCTTCCATAATCAAATATTCAAATTACTATCGCATATTTATGTGTTTAAATCTTTAAATTACCCCCTAACATTTTTTTTTAATTCTCTATTCTCTTTGTATAAATATCGGTATCTATTAAAATTTTTAAATGACTATATTACCCTTAAAAATATATGCATCATTATAGTTTTCAATAAAATGTTCAAAAACCCTTCAAAAACTCCATCAATCTATCTATTGTTCCCGGGGAGGGGGGGAGATATGTGTGGATATTTTCTCACAATTATGCACGTATATTGCATGACACTACCTAGAGGGGGAATAGATTCTTAAACCACCAATTTTAAACCTACTATTACCGCAATTAACTCTTCTTACAAAGATTAAATGATTATTTGAGAATCTCCTTTTTGCTGCAACGATCCCATGAACTCATGATGATTAGTGTTGTTNAGTAACTCTTCTTACAAAGATTAAATGATTATTAGTGAGAATCTCCTTTTTGCTGCAACGATCCCATGAACTCATGATGATTAGTGTTGTTAATTTGTCAATTAAACATTCAAACACTCAATCATTGACGGGGATCCCAACCTAATGATCCAAACCCTTTGATGCACAACTATGGAGTGTGACCAACAATAAATAATACAAGTGATTTATTGATACAAAAATCCTCCTTTGGAAAATCGCGGGGAACCTTCTTGGTTCACCAAAGCCTAATCGACTATCCCAAAATTAGTTTATAAGTATTTGAGTCTTATACCTCAACCAATACTATGATTAGACGTTCCTGTCCTTCAATAAGTCTCTTAACTTAATACACCCATATATGTTTTGAATAGCTTTACTTGAATTCTCTACCGCAATGGATCTTCTAGGCCTTGAGTAATCTTGGGCACACCAACGATCCTCGGTATGCACACTCTAATGGGTTTAGTCTTCAACTGATTAAGNTATACCTCAACCAATACTATGATTAGACGTTCCTGTCCTTCAATAAGTCTCTTAACCTAATACACCCATATATGTTTTGAATAGCTTTACTTGAATTCTCTACCGCAATGGATCTTCTAGGCCTTGAGTAATCTTGGGCACACCAACGATCCTCGGTATGCACACTCTAATGGGTTTAGTCTTCAACTGATTAAGATCTTCCTTAAGCTGTGAGGTTGGATAAGAATCACTAGATGGTAGCCTTGGGTCTTAGGGATATAGTGTTGTGGTAGAAGCTCTCTAGGTAGAAGATACAATTTCTCTCTCGAAATATTCACAGGAGGCTTGCTCTAGGTGTATGAAAGACTTTCTCTATTTTTAGGTATGGAGTATGACCAATCTTGGTCAATAAGAAACACATTCGTGGACGACTGCCCGAGCTGTGGGAGGGCGGTCATAGGACGGTGGTCACTGAAATAAAAAATGAATTTCGAATCAACCTTAGAGAGCAGGACTGCTTGAACGACTTTTGAGACCGCTCGAGCGACCTCTGAGACCACTCGAGCAACCTCTGAGGGCGACCCCTACTATCCTCCGTCTAGTNTACCCGAGCTGTGGGAGGGCGGTCATAGGACGGTGGTCACTGGAATAAAAAATGAATTTCGAATCAACCTTAGAGAGTAGGACTGCTTGAACGACTTTTGAGACCGCTTGAGCGACCTCTGAGACCACTCGAGCAACCTCTGAGGGCGACCCCTACTATCCTCCGTCTAGTCTTTACCTGATATTTTCCTAAGTCATGAAGGGAATGTTCTAGCAAACATAACTACTAGTTTTTTAAACCTAAAATCAAGCAAAAAAACTTGTCCTTTTGAATACTAAAAAGTGTTGTTCAAGAGGGATCCGATGATGGCTCATGCCTATGTTTTCAAAACACACAAAAGGTTTAAAAAACTTTTCTTTTGAAGAACACCTAGGAGCCATTCTCAGATCTAATATTGATTCCATTATAACACTAATCCTTTTAAATCTATTAAACCAAGAGATCATCTTAGATCTATAGGTCATTACCTTGTCCTAATCAAGAATGTGCATATGAAGTGCTTTTGATTTAACTTTGATGCATGATCTCATTCCTTCAATTAATGTTGTTGGATATTCATCGTTGTAGGATCATGACCATGAAATAAGTTGAGATTTACAAAGGACTCTAAGAAATTAGTCAACTATAGAAAATAATCTAACATTATCATTACTCATTTCAAATATAAAGATAACATTATGCCTACATATGTGTGTTTTTTTTTTCATTCAAAAGTTCAACCCTTTAATATTTAATATAAAAAATAATCTTATATATATAGTTTTTTAAAATTATTTTATGTTGCACCAATAAAATTTTTCAATAACACTAAAATTTTGAAGTTGTATTAAGAGTTTATGTAAAGATAGATTATATTGTACTTTAAAGTAAAACTTGAATTTTTAGAATTTTAATATTCTTTAAAATATACAGTACAGAGTAGTATATTATGTTTTATCACAATTGACTTAACTAATTCTTAATTATAGTAAGTTTCTAATATGATTAGAATATCGACAATTATTTTTATGTTATTCAATGAATTATAAAATGAATCCTAATCAAATAAATTTTAAATGAATTATTTATAACTATTTTTTCAATCTTTTTTCTTACGGTTAGAACAATGAATTATTGGAAATAGATAAAATTTTTATAATTCTATAATATAATATGAGCGATAAAAACATAAGTTTGACAAACTTGATATGGTATTTATTATAGATGCACATATACCTAAAGTTTTTTATTAACTTTTTGTATACAAAAATTATTCACGTACAACGCATGTGGTGCATTACTAGTAATTACTAATAAAAATACCTTAATATAAAAAATTTTTGAATTTTTATTTTACCCTTATAAAGAATTGCAAAAGCCAGTCTATACTTCTANCAAGCAAAAAAACTTGTCCTTTTGAATACTAAAAAGTGTTGTTCAAGAGGGATCCGATGATGGCTCATACCTATGTTTTCAAAACACACAAAAGGTTTAAAAATCTTTTCTTTTGAAGAACACCTAGGAGCCATTCTCAGATCTAATATTGATTCCATTATAACACTAATCCTTTTAAATCTATTAAACCAAGAGATCATCTTAGATCTATAGGTCATTACCTTGTCCTAATCAAGAATGTGCATATGAAGTGCTTTTGATTTAACTTTGATGCATGATCTCATTCCTTCAATTAATGTTGTTGGATATTCATCGTTGTAGGATCATGACCATGAAATAAGTTGAGATTTACAAAGGACTCTAAGAAATTAGTCAACTATAGAAAATAATCTAACATTATCATTACTCATTTCAAATATAAAGATAACATTATGCCTACATATGTGTGTTTTTTTTTTCATTCAAAAGTTCAACCCTTTAATATTTAATATAAAAAATAATCTTATATATATAGTTTTTTAAAATTATTTTATGTTGCACCAATAAAATTTTTCAATAACACTAAAATTTTGAAGTTGTATTAAGAGTTTATGTAAAGATAGATTATATTGTACTTTAAAGTAAAACTTGAATTTTTAGAATTTTAATATTCTTTAAAATATACAGTACAGAGTAGTATATTATGTTTTATCACAATTGACTTAACTAATTCTTAATTATAGTAAGTTTCTAATATGATTAGAATATCGACAATTATTTTTATGTTATTCAATGAATTATAAAATGAATCCTAATCAAATAAATTTTAAATGAATTATTTATAACTATTTTTTTAATCTTTTTTCTTACGGTTAGAACAACGAATTATTGGAAATAGATAAAATTTTTATAATTCTATAATATAATATGAGCGATAAAAACATAAGTTTGACAAACTTGATATGGTATTTATTATAGATGCACATATACCTAAAGTTTTTTATTAACTTTTTGTATACAAAAATTATTCACGTACAACGCATGTGGTGCATTACTAGTAATTACTAATAAAAATACCTTAATATAAAAAATTTTGAATTTTTATTTTACCCTTATAAAGAATTGCAAAAGCCAGTCTATACTTCTACAGTTAAATATCTAAATTATCATTATATTTTATGTATTTAAATATCCAAATTACTTGTAACATCTTTCTTAATTATCTATTCTCTATGTATAAATATTAGTTTCTGTAAATCTTTTTAATTGACTATATCACCCTTAAAAAATATATGCATCATTATAATTTAGAATAAAGTCTTCAAAAAAGTTTTAAAAATTTCATCAATTTAATATTATCGTATCATATGTAAAAATAATATTATGCCTTGTATTCTTAATTAAAACTTAGAATTTTAACAAGCTTTATAATATATATTATGGAGTAGTATATTAAATCTTATCCCAATGGATCTAAATAATTTCTAATTATAGTTAGGTTATAATATGATTAGCATATTGATAATTATAGTTGTCAAATTGCGTATCGGGAGGCGTATCGTTTTTAAAAAATAATATATTGTATCGTATTATATATCGTAAGATACGCACAATTTTAATTTTTAAATAATTATTAATAAAATATAACCTTTGTAAAAAAATTATAGACTCATATTAACATAACATTTCATTAATATTCCACCAACTATTTAAGTTCCCAACATACTTTAGTAATATCACGATCTTAATATTAATTAGAAATTTTGAATTCAATTGAACATCAATTGCTTGAACAATCTTAATATTAATTAGGAGTTTTGAATTCAATTGAACAACATTAACAGGAGACTTTATTTTATTTTTTTAAACTATAACCAGTGAAATGACGTTATTTCACTTGTTAGAGATTTAAAAATAAGTCTTTGGGTAAAATAATGTTATTTTAGTCCAAAAAAAAAAAAAAAAATCGTTACGTAGCGGATGTGTTGTATCATGTATCATACGATATGGTGCAAAAACGATACAGAGATACGATATGTATCGTTTTTTTAGGTGTATCGTAACGTATCGTACGATACGTATTGCGTATCGTACGATACTAATAACTATGATCAATTACTTTTATTTTATTCAATGAATTGTAAGTGAAATTTTAATCAAAAGAATTTCAAAAAATTTAATTTTTCAAACATCACTAATAAATTAATCTNTAGTGCAAAAACGATACAGAGATACGATATGTATCGTTTTTTTAGGTGTATCGTAACGTATCGTACGATATGTATTGCATATCGTACGATACTAATAACTATGATCAATTACTTTTATTTTATTCAATGAATTGTAAGTGAAATTCTAATCAAAAGAATTTCAAAAAATTTAATTTTTCAAACATCACTAATAAATTAATCTTGATTACAAAATTCTGAAAAATAGAACTTTAACTATTTTTTTTTAAAAAAAATATTTTTTCTTATAGTTAGAACAACCAACTTTGGGAACATACAAAGATTTGTATAATTCTATAGCAGAGTATGAATGATGAAAAAATAAGTTTGATAAACTTGNTTAACTATTTTTTTTAAAAAAAAATATTTTTTCTTATAGTTAGAACAACGAACTTTGGGAACATACAAAGATTTTGTATAATTCTATAGCAGAGTATGAATGATGAAAAAATAAGTTTGATAAACTTGAGATAATATTTAATTAAGGTACGCAAATACCTAGTATTTTTTATTAATTTTTTGTATGAAAACTATCTACGTGCAAAGCAAGTGGTGCATTGCTAGTAAATGTATATGTATGGACTGTAAGTTGCAATAGAACCTTAAAATTAATTGATTTGAATAATCTCAATCACTTATGATGGTTTGGTGCAAATAAAAGCTCTGTATCGAGTCTGCCTCTCATATGATATATTGGAGGGACCAACACTGGGCAAATGGTAGTCACTTAATTTGCTTTGAAGCATATAATTGTATTGTTAAGTGATATAATTCGTTGTAGCCTTGCATGAGGCCATGCATTTATTTAATGGCAATATCACACTATTCATCTCTGGTGATGTCTTGGCTGATACCTGAAACCATATTTGATGCTAATATTTTTCTAATTCTAACTGTGCGACCTTGGTTTGTTGAAATATGGTTATTGTAGGCTCAAATACATATCTAACAAAGAAGGCCTGAAGACAAGTTCCATCGCCCTCACTGCACTTGCAGGGTATACTGGTAAGAATGTCTCCTCCACTAAGGGTTTTTTACCTCCTGGATGTTTTTTTCCACTAAATCCAGGTTTCTTGGATGAAAACATACACAGTTATCCAAGGAGTGTGTAAAAGTTAATTGTTTCACAAACCATTATATACTGTGTAAACCTTTCTCTGAAATCTTAGACAACCAGCCACCTTTTCATAGTGCAAAAGCTTAGTACAAGATATCGAATGTTATCTGTCACCATCCAAAAGGCAAGATGGCATTGAAAACTCTTACCAGCAAAATACCCCTAAAACCAAACTAAAAACAAAGACTCCTTGAAAATATGAAAATTGACTTGAGTATGATAAATTATGGGTTCGTGACTTATTTTTCTAAGTCATGGTTTTCTTTGTGCTTAGGAAGATTTTTATCCATGGGTGCAAGGTTGCCCCTTCATGGTCAACTAAGATGTCATATAAATTTATGGTTTCATCTTTTCACCTATTAATGGCCTTTTTCGATTCATTTCTACATTTGTCTTCCTTCATGCTATTTTGCATTATACACCTTGACAACTTCCCTTCAACCTTTGCAATTTAAACTAGAAGTAATGTGTCAAGTTAAAGGCACAAGTGCACGAGTGTTTGTGCTGGAAGTATAAGATCCATAAGTTTGCCGTCGCATATGGTTTCATTATCAGTTGCTTGGAATACCTGTTACCTTATCATATTCTATGCTGATTTTGATGGGTTTTTCACTTTCCCGAAGGTTTTTGAAATGTAGGTTATTTTATCTCATATCTATAACTATTTCATGAACAAGTACTATTAGGGTTTTGTTGCTGGCAGTGCATAAGGCCCCCCCATACGCAGAAGAGGGCTGAAGCAAGCAATTTTTAAAAGTTCAATGATATGGGAATGATTGCTTTTTTGATTGATATGGAGTTGAGTGTAGTTCGTTTGTTTTTTTCCCTCTATATACTGGTTGACTTTGACTTATGTGCAATATTCTGCTTTTTTCTCACTTTATACCTGATTGGTTGGTCGAAAACCTGTTGCCTGCAGATAAATATGTTCCTGACACCGACTTGAATTTTTTGAAAGCGGATAAGTTCCCGATATTCAGATTCCGGCCTTAATTCCCTTTCTTTTGTTTTACAGAATGTGACATACGTGCATGTTTGAACACTCTTCAGTTCCTCAATAAGAAGAAGGAAAACCTCAAAGTGGTATGATATTACCAAGATACGTTCTTCCTTATTTGTTATTTCCAAATAAATCTCCCCAGATGAAAGAGGAGGTTATGCAGGTCCCCATATTTAGGTGATTATAAGTTATAACAGTATACAGTTTTGTTGGTAGGTTTCTTGCTTGTTGGAAACAAATACCTTTGTTGTAGAGGATGGAAATCAGCCCTCTGCAACTGCATGATAACATAAAGGAAAATGATAACTTATCCGTATGCTACCCTCCCACATACTTAATGTTCTTTAAGGGGGTTGAAGTGTCCTGTATATCTAGTCATCTCATGGTGGCTTATAAAGAGACTTTCAAAAACTTTGTTAGACTTATATTATCCTATTCCTCGGCAGAAAAGATGTTTGCTAAAACTGTCGCGTTTATTAGATGTTGAGTTGCTGGTTTAATTAGTGTTTTAAGATTTTGACTGCATTATATGATTTTTTTACGACTTTAAGTTTACTAGGAAAGGGGAATTGCTTTGACCCAGCGGTGTTAAGCCCTCGCATAATCAGATGTAGGGTCATGCGTTGTTATGAATCTTATAGAAAACATTTACTGTCACATTTGGGTGGTGGGGTTTTAGAAGTCACCTTCCTCTATTCAATTAACTATAAAGGGTTCTATACCATTTTATCAAGAGGGTAATTCTTTTGAGTGCTTTCTTTCCAATTTAATTGATTGATTTGTTCTCCTGGCTATTAGTTGGAGATCAGTTCTCAATTGGTTGGCCGAAAGGACACATCAAAAAGTGTTTTCGACGTATGGAAAGAGGTAAGGTGTTGTAGTTGTATCTGTCACTTGTACTTAAATTCCTTGATTATTCTTTTTCAGAATCCTTACTCTATGGTCACAATTTTCTTGTCATTAAAGATTTTTCAAAAGAGAAGAGTGAAGCAGGAAAGGATATCGGGTAATGGCAGCAGCAGCATGTCCAATGAATTTGAATTTCTGCACAATCTGATATCTAACCGGTAGGTTGAGGCTTACATAGCAGACCATGATATGTACATTGTTCCAAGTGATGGATCATCTGTCTTAATGTTCTATGACCATCCAGTGGCGACTACGACTTAATTTTAGATGGGATCCACGAAAATATTTTGCAGCTCCATTATCATGATCCACTTATGCGAAAGACAGTAAGTCCTAATTGCCTAGACACTGTTGCCCCCATGTGTATTAGACCTTTGTTTAACATATCCTATATCTTGAAGGTCAAATGCTTGCATAATCTTGGGGTTTCTGATATGATTCACCAGTACATTATGCGCACGCAGCAGATGTCTTTACAAGGTATAAAATCCTACTATCGGCAGACATTGACCCTTTAATAGGTATAAATCTCAACTCAAGATCTTCCTATCCCTGTTTACTTTTTGTAGTTTATCAGCCTTCTATTGCAATTGCTGTACATGGTCTAATAGCTCAAGTTGAAAGACCAAATATTGGATGGCCCAAATCTTTCCAAAGGTATCCCTAATCCATCTACATCTACATCGTGAAGTCTAATGTGAGCATTGTATCTTATAATTCTATCTTACTTTGAACTCACAGATACCGAACAAGCTTGGTGGAAAGGATGGAGATATTTCATTCATGGCACTACAAAATATCACCATACATCTCAAGGCATCTGTCAACTAAGTCCTTTGTAGAAGACTTGATTTCTCCATTGTTACATCTTTTGTCACCACCAACTCTAAGGCCGGTAATTTACCTGCATTATGCCTTCGTGTTCAGTTGATGCTTGCTGATGATTCTGTTTATATATAATGTTATAAATCTATGACGAGGGATGATTTGAGGCAGGTGCAGTATGCCTCCAAACCTAACTGGTTTGTGGGCATTTTATGGCTGTCCTTTCCCCATAATAGTGAGGTGTTCTCCATTTGGTACTTTTCATGATTGCGAAAACCATTCCAAACTATTCCCCACCCTGCCCTCTACTTGCTCCCTTTGTTCCAATCTGTGTGGGGCCTTGAGCTGACAATTTGTAGAAAAAACTAACACAGCTAACAAAACTGAAATAGCTAATATTCAATGAAGAAGAACATCTCCTGATTTGTCCTTGAATGACCTAAAAACATGCAGTAGCCAGAAGAGTTCCTCAAAATAGCGTAAAAATCTAGAAATCTTTTATTGTTGTCGACAAATCTGGAGCATCAAAAAGGAGAGGAGAGAGGTTTACTCACTATTCACCCATCTGATTGAGCTGATGTTTTTAGTTAGAGCAGACAGAAAGAACTTGACATTGGGTGGCAAGATGGTGACAACAGTGATTCATGGCAAAGATTCAAGTTCGTACAGAATCAATTGGAAAAATAGTAGAATAGTCCATTTTCTATCTTTACAGAAATGGTAGTAGTTTACCCGTTGGGTGTCATTTTTTTTATATCTATATTTGGTCATGGATTATAATTGTCTATGCATGTGATGAACAATGGCTTAGCTTTATTATCTTTATTATCTTTTGATTATGAGCAATGTTTTTTTTTCCAATTTTTGGAGCTACTAGGTTTTGATAAACTCCCATTAGGTATTTNTTGATTATGAGCAATGCTTTTTTTTTTCCAATTTTTGGAGCTACTAGGTTTTGATAAACTCCCATTAGGTATTTATCCCAAAATCGTCACACCCAGGTAATATGCTTGTAAATTACTGATTTTAATTGATTCTTACGATAAAGTCTCAAATTTTAAAAAAACGTGGACAAAGGAAACAAGTTTACGTCTTTATTAATATATGAAGCTCCAGATCTCTCAAATGGATACTTGGGACTCTGGGATCCCAATATGTATCATATATATATATAGACACACACACACACACACACACACATGGACTGGGAATAGTTTCTTGTATAATATCGGTGCTTGAAATTGTCTACAGCTTGTATGACATATATTAAAAAGAAAAAGTGAAAATGGTTCTTCAGACAAAGAGGAAAGAACTAGAAACATTTTACATTACAAAACCCTAATTCCACATTCCAAGACCACTAGAACCTTCCATGCAAGTTCAAAGTCGTTAAAATTGAACAAGAACATAAATGCTTAATCAGGACTTAACATATAGTATGAGTTGAAAAAATGACTCCATGAAAAATAATGTTTCTCTAAATGAGAGAAGTAAATCTGTGAATTCTCAAGTAAAAAGATTAGACTTTCTATGAAGAAACTTGTTAGGAAATGTTAGAGATGGAGTGACTGATCCATCATAGTTACATGGAAATTCTGTTTTGCTGAGAGATAATAAGGGATGGCAGAGAAGAGCTGGGAGACACACAGATAATAATGATTGCCGAGTGCAAATAGCAACACCATGAAAAAGTAGCTTGGTTGTGTGAAGAGAGCTTGTATCCCACATCGAATGACCAAGACCACCCAAGGTTGATTTATATGTTTAAGGGCTTCTCCACTCATTGCCAATTGATTTTGGGTCAGTTGCTCTAACATTGTATTAAAGTTGGGACTTGGGTAGTTAGGGGGTTTAGGTCGTTACCCGTTTGAATTTCTCAGTATGCATGTTTGTTTGTTAGCCCAATGTATGAGCCTAGATCCCACGTGAGGGATAGGGTAAAGAGAGGTTGTATCCCACATTGAGTGACTAGGACCGCCCAAAGTCGGTTTATTTGCTTAAAGGGCATCTCCACACATTGATAATTGATAATTGGTTTTGGGTTGGATGCTTTAACAATTCGCTCCTCCAAATACCTTTTTGGTGTAATGACATGGAATTGATTGTTTTCTAGTTGATGATATAACTTAGGTTCTGTTACCACTTTTACTGAAGCTTCCACTGGGGTTAGTTAAAGTAGGTAGATGATTGCTCATTAGGAAAAAGAGAAGCTAAGAAAGTGAGAGAACGCAGGAGAAGGAACAGAATTTTAGAGACAGTAATAACGAGAGGGAGACGAGAAGAAAATGGAAGAGTGGGAGAGGTGAAAAGCAACTTTCTAGCATCCCACATTGAATAGTCAAATATGTTAATTATTTAGCCATTTTTCTGTGTTTATAGATCTAGTAACTTGTTTACCCGTTGACACTTCTAATGAGCCCATATATTATAAATGCATCATATTTTTGGACATAAACAAGGCTTGCTTTTGCAACTGGAAAATATCATTTAGTTTGGCCAACCTAGTTGGATATATCTATGATAAAAAATAGGCATACATATCTTTGAAGCTTANAACATATTTTTGGACATAAACAAGGCTTGCTTTTGCAACTGGAAAATATCATTTAGTTTGGGCAACCTAGTTGGATATATCTATGATAAAAAATAGGCATACATATCTTTGAAGCTTATAAACCTTACCTTGGAGAACTTGGGAGAATTCATTTATAATAATTCAAAGAGCATCTATAGCTACTGCAAAATCTGATCAAATATGAAAATAAACCTAATGTACTGGGAAATTATAACTGGTGAATGATTTGGTCGCTAGGATTAGACCAAGTGCTACCATTGTCATTGTTAGGTTGCTTCCAGTTACTCATTAGGACTGCATCCTCCTTGTACGTTTCAATCTCTCTCTCTCTCTCTCTCTCTCTCTCTTGTTCTACTTTGATGAAACTGGAATTCTGCTTGTCGCTATGGTTCTGAAACAGTTCGATGTCTTTTCTCAGGTGGCATTGCATTTACTTTCAGAGAAAGAGAAGAATGATCTGGTCCAGTTAGTAAATTTTATGGTGTCGTATGCTATAACTTATAAGAATGTAAAATCTAATCCTTTACACAGTACACTGAGACATGAAGTTGATTTAGATGCTTCGGCTCTTTCATTTGATCCCCCAATAAGTGATTTTATAAACTTCCAGGTTAGTGTTGTTGGTTTTGCCTACTCAAATTTCAAATAAGGTCTATTATATCTTCTAAATGCCTATTTTTGGTGTTAAACAGGGCTATAAATCTGGTCATTTTGTGTTGGCTTCAGCTGTGAAGCAGGTCTTGGTGCATGAGGTAAGGGATGCATTTTGTAAGGGGTGCTAAATTATTCAACTTTTGAAGAAATACTGTTTGTGTGAAAGGGCGCTCTGTTAGCTATGAGATTTTTTCTTGTTAAGAAACGAAAATTTTATTTTTAAGAGAGAAAGTTACAAAAGCAGTGAACATGAAGTTCTATCATTAATAAAATAAGAACTAGAAAATATTGATTTGTTGTTGGTCAGTCATATAGGTCAAAATTATCTCGATATCCTGTATAGTTTGAGTTAGTCTCCAATGTGGATTTGATGCGAACTGACAGTCATTGTTTATTCCCATTTGCTGGGATGCATGGATAAGAGTTAATGAATAGTTATCTTCTTTAAATTACCTTTCGTTATGGGGTTCATTCTTTAGGTGATCTTTTTATCTTTTGTATGTGGTGTGTATTACACAAAATGAAGAATCTCTCTAACATTCCCTTGCAAAACACTTGACAAAATATCTGGATTCTCTGGAGTCTGAAATAGTAGATTATCAAGTTGTGCCCTAGTATTAGGCATCGCTTGTTTGGAAATTTTTTATTTGAATTTGAGAGTGTGGTTGAGGATTGTCCCTGACACACTGGACTTAGACATATTGACCTAGAGGGGGGTGAATATGTCTTAGCACTTAAATGCGGAATTAATACCAATTAGAACCTAATCCATTCGATTATCAATTAATTAAACAATCAACACAAAACCCCCAAATTTACCAAACCTAATCTACCAATTTAGGAATTTAAGCAAAATTCCCAAATCCCAACACCCTTTAATACAAATATATTGGCCAACACCAGCAAGATGATTCACAAGAATTTAATCAATTATGCGTACGGGGAATATAAAATTGCATGTATGTAAAAAAGATACGGAAAAGTCGATCACAAACACAACACAAAAAATTTGAGAGGAAACCTTCTCGGAAAAAGCCATGGGACTGTAGTCCACCTAACCTAATCCACTAGCCTCAAAGTTGTTTTTTTTGGTAAGAAACAACACTTTCATTTCATTGAAAGAAATAAGAAGTGTACATAAATAATAGGAATCTACCTAAAAGAGCAAAAATCCAAGTTATTAAAAGATCAAAGACTTATACCTCCCATGGTTAGATTTTGTAAGATCTTGACGACTAGCTTCAATAGGTGACGAATTGAGCTCCACAATTGGCCCTTGGAATCCTCCATCTTCTCCTATTAGAATCTTCCTTTGATGCTTGGAATCCTAATTCGATCCTTTACTTTGCAGATTTTGAATGTTCTAAAAACATTCTCAAAGCCTAGGTTGATTTCATTAAGAAAATCTAGATTAATCAATTTGGGATTTTAATTTATTATGAGCCCAAATGATGGATTGGAGTTTGATATGGAATGCTAAGGTAAGCCTTATGAATCTCTTTCTAGCCTCTCTTTAAATCCTATAGTCTCTCTATCGAAGAATAAAGACGTCCCATATATATAGGTGGAGAAAATAGGGTTTAATTGGGAAACAAGTTGTTCAGTTTCCCGAAGGACCGCTCGAGCGCTCAGAGAGCAGTGAGAGAGCATTGCATATTGGAAAAGAATTGTTCCCAGTGTGAATAGTGGCACACTCGACCGGTCAGTGAATGCTGACCACTGTTTCGAAATTTTAACCCCAATTTATTTTCCTCAACCGCTAGAGCTCTTGGAGAACAACGTTCACTGATTTCTCAACATAAAACCAATGCTATCTTCAACCTTTGAAATACCAATGGGTGATATTTAAAAAGCCTCTATGCCATGACTCTTAAAACCAACCCTCAAAGTTTCAAAAATGTTTATCTCATAAATACGGGATTCATGCTACCGTTTTTTATACTTAACATCTAAAACCATTTTATTCACCTAGTTTAACCATTTTAAGGCAACTAGGTCTCATACCTCACCTAAACTTGATGGCTTCAAAGAAGTTTTCGCATGTTGCAATGTAGCTTGGACTTCTCCATCACATCTTGCTTTGTTTTTCAATCTTCATAAACATAATGACCATGAATTTAGTTGAAATTCAAGTTCAAGTGACCTCACGGAATTTGCCAATTACAATCAATTTTCGTAACAGAACTGGAGGGGCATATTAATAAACAAGGATGACTTGGTTTTATGTATTTTCTCATCATTTATCTGACACACTAACAAGTAACATGTATCCATCTTCCACATTTTTTGGGAAAATTCTACCTGCACCTGCTGCTTATTGGGCTTTAGGTGACTATTTTGGATACCCAGTAGCCATAGTTATCAACAATACCTTGTCAGTGCCTTTACTTCATGAAGCTGGAATAAGCTTTCTAGGAGAAATCATTAGTACATAGAAGAATACCATTACTATTGAATATTTAATTACATGAGAATACCACCTTTTATACTCAAAAAGAATGCGTAATTCGCCTGTATTGTAATCCATGGCTTAAAATGTTAGGACAAGTTTAATGAACCTTGAGGAATATAAGCTTTTGTGGGGAAATTTTCCTTGTTCCCCTTCTCACTGCATGCCGTGGTGTGCAAGTTTACATTTATATATAAGCACATAAAGCCTTAGCTAGATGTGTTGATCCTCAATAAGGTTTTCTTGTTTTGTATTGTTGTTTCCCTGAGATGTACAGGTGCAGATGCCATTTGACACAAGTATGTCTTTCCCCACTTTCTTTTTTTGTTGGTTATTGGTCTGTGTCATCCTCTGTCGTAACAACTTGTCATAAATGCATGAGTGGAAGGGTACATGATTTTTTTTTTCTTTTTGTTATAGATGATGATTTGTTAATTTCTTTTTGTCGATCTTGTTCAATTTTCTAGATGACCTTTGTCATTATGGAGCTGCTGTATTCCAAACAATTTTTGTAGATTTTTATTTGGCATCAAATTAGTCTCATGCATTGAAGTACATAATTATAGGTGGAAAAGCAAAAGATTTTGCAAGGCAGCATCAACAGATCTGTGCACCCTCCTGATGTATGTAACAAGAAAAACCAGGCTATGGCAGGGGGCAAAATGGGCAGAACACCTTCCAGATCTGATAGTGCAACCACATCTGCTGGGAAGATGACAAACACAAAGAATCCGTTAATCCCGCAGCATTATGGATTGACTACTACTTCTAATCCATCAACTTCAGATTGTAATCGAACTACCACAGCCAGTGTGATACTAAAATCCTCTGAAAAGAAAAAGAAGCGATATACCGACTCTTCTAGTTTCTTTGACAGGTTGAATATAGCTTCTACATTCAGTTATTGCTGCATTATTATTTGTTTGTTGCCATTTTATAATTGGGAGCTACTTTGAATTTGAATACCTGACTCAAACAGAACTATGAAACCTCTAATTTTTTATTTCCTTCAGGACTTAAAAATTTCCAGCTAGATGAACTAATATTCAGCTGAATTAGTTCATGGTCATCTACAAAATGTAGATGGCTAGATTCATATAGACACTTACACAAATGCATTGACTTGCAACCATGAGCTTTTTAGTACATACCTGCCCCCATCTTCTACATTTTCAGAACTTTAGATATGTCTCACTCTTATCTGGAATCACTTTTGAATTCTTATCAGCATGACCTCAACATTTCTTTGTTTTTATTGATGGCATCATGAAATAACAAATTTGGGTGGAAGAAAGACCATGCATGTCTGCAAACATATTGGTTTAGAATCTTTAGATTACTCCACCTTTGGCCAATTTGATTCGCCGGAGAGATAAACCAGTGGCCCTTTCCATTGTGCATATGTCTCCATTGTGCATATGTCTTCTTGATGTTTATAGAAGTTAAAGTAAGGAACTCTATACTGTACCATAAATCTTTCATTGTTGGCAACATGGGAAACTCTATAGGATTTTCTCGTCATTTATATTAAGGGAGTGCTTGGTCCTCTGTTGACAGGTTGTGGTGTATGGAAATAGTTAATCTAGTGATGACATGTGAGGTGTGAATCTCTGACAACCGTTAAAAAGGGTTATCAAAGGTTCAACAGCTTGCGCCTATTAAAGAGGGATGTATAAATTTTGTATGTGTGACTGCATCAATAATCTTTGTATAAGTTGTGCATAATTTGAGATTTAGTTTTAGATTTAAGTATTTTTTCTTGAGTTCTAAATGGGGTATTGGTTGGTTCAATGCATGCCACCAAATCAAACTGATTAGTTTGTCTTTCCTTTTTCGAATGTTGGAACATCAATGAAGTTTTGAGATTTCTTTGGAAAAGTATTTTAGAGATGTGAGTGTGAACTGCAAAAGAAAATAAATTTTTTTTTTTTGTTTGAATTGACAGAAGAGTCCTTGCAACGACATATAGTAAAAGGGCGAATCTGGTGAATTGATAATTTTTTTCCCGAGACCTATTTGTTTCCGGTGTGTTGAAATTCGCTGTCAATTTATTTATTATTTGTGCTTCTCTTAGGTTGAACAAGGATGTTAGAGTGAAGTGTTGGTCCAAAAAATTTAGCAGATAACATCCCCACTCTTATTTCTTTGGACTTGAGGAAGTAATTGCAGTCACTCCTTATGCTTTCATTTTACTTTTTGGTTTTTGAATTACATGCTGTAGTGCATTTGACATTGCTTGGTCTTTGCACACTGTTAAACTAGTAGTTACTTCAAAAGCTTAAGTTNTGACATTTATATATAAGCACATAAAGCCTTAGCTAGATGTGTTGATCCTCAATAAGGTTTTCTTGTTTTGTATTGTTGTTTCCCTGAGATGTACAGGTGCAGATGCCATTTGACACAAGTATGTNTTACATTTATATATAAGCACATAAAGCCTTAGCTAGATGTGTTGATCCTCAATAAGGTTTTCTTGTTGTGTATTGTTGTTTCCCTGAGATGTACAGGTGCAGATGCCATTTGACACAAGTATGTCTTTCCCCACTTTCTTTTTTTGTTGGTTATTGGTCTGTGTCATCCTCTGTCGTAACAACTTGTCATAAATGCATGAGTGGAAGGGTACATGATTTTTTTTTTCTTTTTGTTATAGATGATGATTTGTTAATTTCTTTTTGTCGATCTTGTTCAATTTTCTAGATGACCTTTGTCATTATGGAGCTGCTGTATTCCAAACAATTTTTGTAGATTTTTATTTGGCATCAAATTAGTCTCATGCATTGAAGTACATAATTATAGGTGGAAAAGCAAAAGATTTTGCAAGGCAGCATCAACAGATCTGTGCACCCTCCTGATGTATGTAACAAGAAAAACCAGGCTATGGCAGGGGGCAAAATGGGCAGAACACCTTCCAGATCTGATAGTGCAACCACATCTGCTGGGAAGATGACAAACACAAAGAATCCGTTAATCCCGCAGCATTATGGATTGACTACTACTTCTAATCCATCAACTTCAGATTGTAATCGAACTACCACAGCCAGTGTGATACTAAAATCCTCTGAAAAGAAAAAGAAGCGATATACCGACTCTTCTAGTTTCTTTGACAGGTTGAATATAGCTTCTACATTCAGTTATTGCTGCATTATTATTTGTTTGTTGCCATTTTATAATTGGGAGCTACTTTGAATTTGAATACCTGACTCAAACAGAACTATGAAACCTCTAATTTTTTATTTCCTTCAGGACTTAAAAATTTCCAGCTAGATGAACTAATATTCAGCTGAATTAGTTCATGGTCATCTACAAAATGTAGATGGCTAGATTCATATAGACACTTACACAAATGCATTGACTTGCAACCATGAGCTTTTTAGTACATACCTGCCCCCATCTTCTACATTTTCAGAACTTTAGATATGTCTCACTCTTATCTGGAATCACTTTTGAATTCTTATCAGCATGACCTCAACATTTCTTTGTTTTTATTGATGGCATCATGAAATAACAAATTTGGGTGGAAGAAAGACCATGCATGTCTGCAAACATATTGGTTTAGAATCTTTAGATTACTCCACCTTTGGCCAATTTGATTCGCCGGAGAGATAAACCAGTGGCCCTTTCCATTGTGCATATGTCTCCATTGTGCATATGTCTTCTTGATGTTTATAAAAGTTAAAGTAAGGAACTCTATACTGTACCATAAATCTTTCATTGTTGGCAACATGGGAAACTCTATAGGACTTTCTCGTCATTTATATTAAGGGAGTGCTTGGTCCTCTGTTGACAGGTTGTGGTGTATGGAAATAGTTAATCTAGTGATGACATGTGAGGTGTGAATCTCTGACAACCGTTAAAAAGGGTTATCAAAGGTTCAACAGCTTGCGCCTATTAAAGAGGGATGTATAAATTTTGTACGTGTGACTGCATCAATAATCTTTGTATAAGTTGTGCATAATTTGAGATTTAGTTTTAGATTTAAGTATTTTTTCTTGAGTTCTAAATGGGGTATTGGTTGGTTCAATGCATGCCACCAAATCAAACTGATTAGTTTGTCTTTCCTTTTTCGAATGTTGGAACATCAATGAAGTTTTGAGATTTCTTTGGAAAAGTATTTTAGAGATGTGAGTGTGAACTGCAAAAGAAAATAAATTTTTTTTTTTTGTTTGAATTGACAGAAGAGTCCTTGCAACGACATATAGTAAAAGGGCGAATCTGGTGAATTGATAATTTTTTTCCCGAGACCTATTTGTTTCCGGTGTGTTGAAATTCGCTGTCAATTTATTTATTATTTGTGCTTCTCTTAGGTTGAACAAGGATGTTAGAGTGAAGTGTTGGTCCAAAAAATTTAGCAGATAACATCCCCACTCTTATTTCTTTGGACTTGAGGAAGTAATTGCAGTCACTCCTTATGCTTTCATTTTACTTTTTGGTTTTTGAATTACATGCTGTAGTGCATTTGACATTGCTTGGTCTTTGCACACTGTTAAACTAGTAGTTACTTCAAAAGCTTAAGTTGTTAGAGAATGGGTCCATGACTTATATGAAATACCACTCACGTGTGACTGTCTCTCACACGTGGAGGAGATATATGACCAAATCGGTCAATATGCACGCACACGATGAGGGTACCAAGTGCAGACAGTGAGATTTGAACCCTAGACAGGAAGGAAGTGAAGCCTTGATACTATGGTAAATTGCTGATTATATCAAAACTTAAGTTGTCAGAGAGTAGACCCACAATATGTTTTAAGCTCTTAGCGCACCTCGTCCTTCACTCATCATTTATTTTCGTTCAGTCCTTTGTCTTGGTGCGAATCCTCTCTCTCTCTCTCTCTCTCTCTCTCTCNTGTCTTTCCCCACTTTCTTTTTTTGTTGGTTATTGGTCTGTGTCATCCTCTGTCGTAACAACTTGTCATAAATGCATGAGTGGAAGGGTACATGATTTTTTTTTTCTTTTTGTTATAGATGATGATTTGTTAATTTCTTTTTGTCGATCTTGTTCAATTTTCTAGATGACCTTTGTCATTATGGAGCTGCTGTATTCCAAACAATTTTTGTAGATTTTTATTTGGCATCAAATTAGTCTCATGCATTGAAGTACATAATTATAGGTGGAAAAGCAAAAGATTTTGCAAGGCAGCATCAACAGATCTGTGCACCCTCCTGATGTATGTAACAAGAAAAACCAGGCTATGGCAGGGGGCAAAATGGGCAGAACACCTTCCAGATCTGATAGTGCAACCACATCTGCTGGGAAGATGACAAACACAAAGAATCCGTTAATCCCGCAGCATTATGGATTGACTACTACTTCTAATCCATCAACTTCAGATTGTAATCGAACTACCACAGCCAGTGTGATACTAAAATCCTCTGAAAAGAAAAAGAAGCGATATACCGACTCTTCTAGTTTCTTTGACAGGTTGAATATAGCTTCTACATTCAGTTATTGCTGCATTATTATTTGTTTGTTGCCATTTTATAATTGGGAGCTACTTTGAATTTGNTGTGGATTGACTACTACTTCTAATACATCAACTTCAGATTGTAATCGAACTTCCACAGCCAGTGTGATACTAAAATCCTCTGAAAAGAAAAAGAAGCGATATACCGACTCTTCTAGTTTCTTTGACAGGTTGAATATAGCTTCTACATTCAGTNTCGACAGGTAAGGATCACTAGATGTGCTCAAAATTTTGTCAAAAGCTACCGGAAAAGTTTATAAATGATTAGTGATGCAGATTGAGAAGAACAATTTCAGGGGAAAAGTAGAGATGAGAAATCAGAAAAAATCAGAAGAGATGAAAAAATTGAAGTGGAAGATGAATATCCCTATCAATAATGTTGAAGTCTGAATACCTTCACGTCAATTACTATATTAGGTGAATACCAAAACCTTTAATNTTGACAGGTAAGGATCACTAGATGTGCTCAAAATTTTGTCAAAAGCTACCGGAAAAGTTTATAAATGATTAGTGATGCGGATTGAGAAGAACAATTTCAGGGGAAAAGTAGAGATGAGAAATCAGAAAAAATCAGAAGAGATGAAAAAATTGAAGTGGAAGATGAATATCCCTATCAATAATGTTAAAGTCTGAATACCTTCACGTCAATTACTATATTAGGTGAATACCAAAACCTTTAATCAAGATTCATAATACAAAATCCAAGAAATCCAAAATAGTAAAATAATTTTAAAATGAATTTTCAAATTCTAATATCCAATTCCAATCCTCTTCCAACTTCTTTCCGATCCCCATCAATTAGATGTTAAAGGATGATAGCATATTTGGTTGCTGAGATGAAATTTTGGTATAAACAATGAAAGCTCATTAGTGTTACGTAGTAACACTCATGCTTCCCCTTCTGAACATATTTGCTNAAACAGGTAGCATATTTGGTTGCTGAGATGAAATTTTGGTATAAACAATGAAAGCTCATTAGTGTTACGTAGTAACACTCATGCTTCCCCTTCTGAACATATTTGCTTAATTGCACCAATTTTAGGATAATTTTTTGCTGTAAACAATTGTAAGAACCCAGTTTTTTTTTTTCTTTGTTTTTGGTTTGGTGAGGATTCAAATCCATGGCATAGCCATGGGGAGTAAGAGTGAGCCTTTTGACATCACTTGAAGCTACCCAGGTTAAGCCCGTGGTGGTGAAGCGCATGTTCACTCATAACGATTTCTATTCTCTTCTTTNTCTTTCTTGTTTTTGGTTTGGTGAGGATTCAAATCCATGGCATAGCCATGGGGAGTAAGAGTGAGCCTTTTGACATCACTTGAAGCTACCCAGGTTAAGCCCGTGGTGGTGAAGCGCATGTTCACTCATAACGATTTCTATTCTCTTCTTTTTATGCAGGGTTTCACAAATGCAGTTAAAAGGCCAATTCGAATTCGTGAATTTCTTCTATGATGTAAAACAAGCCTTGTAATCGTATAAAGGTGATGCTTGTAGTTATCTAAGTTATGTTTATATTCTCTTAAGCTTCCCTCAAGTTGTCACTATCACAGTTGATATATTCACAGTGCCTTTTTCTCATTCAATAATATAGAAAATTTATCTTCTTTGTTTGCACTATGTACTTGCACTTTTGTTTGAAAGAACTGGAATTGAACAGTGCCAAACTATTTGAATGTAGTTAACCTTTTTGCTTATTTCATCTCTCATTTCTAGAACTATTTCCCCTGCCGTCAATGAACACTCGTTTTGAGCAGCATTACGATTGGCAGCTTGATTAACATCATCTAATCCAGTTCATTGTTTACCAACCGAAAGAAACTTGATTAACAGAGGCTTTTTAAATGACAGGAGAAGCAGAACACTTGAATTTGATACAGTTCATAAATTTTTTGATCTTCTAGCTACGAGGTATCTTGGTCTCTTAGAGCTGATCAACGTTCTTGAGCATGTATAGCCCCCCGTCCCAATAAACATACGACCATTATTGGAATAAATCTCTCGAGGTTGCTCCAAGATAGCTATTTCATCTTGTTTGAGAACAATTATTTGCTTGAAAAACATCTGACCGTTAGGATAAAGTTGGATCTCACTACTCAAGAAATGGGAGGTCGGGTCTGGTTCCATGTCCTCCCCAATTGGTTGGGTGCACTAAATCACTATNTCGAGCATGTATAGCCCCCCGTCCCAATAAACATACGACTATTATTGGAATAAATCTCTCGAGGTTGCTCCAAGATAGCTATTTCATCTTGTTTGAGAACAATTATTTGCTTGAAAATCATCTGACCGTTAGGATAAAGTTGGATCTCACTACTCAAGAAATGAGAGGTCGGGTCTGGTTCCATGTCCTCCCCAATTGGTTGGGTGCACTAAATCACTATCTAACGTGGTCTTCTTACACCATCGAATAATTTCCGAGTCACCACCCTATTAGAACTTCGACACGGTTACGTATTATTGGATTGGTGGTTCACCAAAATTATGGTTAAATAGTGTGCCACTTTGAGTGAATTCCAAAAACTTGGATTGATTCTACATAACGATCAATTATAGCTTTTCTGAAACACTTGAGATAACTTGACCCAACAGGGTTGTAGTTTGTTAATATTTTTTTGATATGCAAGTAGTAAGGACTTTTCCATCACCTGTTTATTGATATTATATTAGCACACAAACAACAAAAAATTTACAGCCTTTGGAGAACAGAAAACAAAAATCTGTCTAATACTAAATGAATCTCCTGCACTTTCAAGTTTCAGTACCTTACATAAGTATTCAATGGGTATTTGTCAAATAGAAGCTGGAGGCACCACCTAGCAAGTACAAGTCTTGATTGCATATCTACATTTTATGTGCAAGAAAGTTTCAATTGATCATAGCAAAAAGTCTCAGCTTTGTCAATCCTTATACTTGAATGCTCCCTCCAGATTGAGTGGTGTTATCATCTGGGGGACTGATAGATATCCAAAGTAAAGACACTGTAGTGGAAACAAGCCCTGCCCATACATAAACAATTGTAGGAACCTTTCCTCTCCTTCCCATCAATCCCTTAGCAAATGGGTACATGTGAGCCAACACCCAGAATGTGAAGAAAGCCCCACCCATGAGCTTATTCCATTGAGGAATCACACTGTACACAGTTCTCATGAACCCGAGGATAATAGCAACAAGATTGACAACAATGATGGTCAGTGGCATTATGAAGAGACTGGTCCATTTGACAACATATAGATCAGCATAGATGTCTTCTTCATCTTCCGCAGCAGATTTTGAGGTCAACGTAAATGAGATTTCGATACCAGCAATGACTTTAAGGAGACCCTGGAGTACTGCAGCAAAGTGAGCACTGCTGCCCCCAATGACCCAAAACTGCTCGTTTCGCCACAATTCCTCCAGGCCTATACCTGACCACTTGACTTCAAGCATGGAGATGCAAGCGAGAGTGATAGTGATGATAAGAAGGTAAAAAAGGAAAGTAACATTTAAGCTCTTCACAATAAATTGTCCAGTGAAGAGACAGAGAGCCGGGAGAAAACAATAGACCACAAGGATGATGGACGTGAACGGGTAGATGCCGACATTGAGGTAAGCTATTCGCTGGAGGAATTTTAGACGTCGGGTTGCAAGAAATGCATTGTTTCGAGAGAAGAAAATCTCGACAGAACCAGTGGCCCATCGGAGGACCTGGTGCAGGCGGTCAGTTAAGTTGATCGGTGCAGTGCCCCGGAAAGCATCACGCTTTGTGATGCAGTAGACAGATCGCCATCCGCGATTGTGCATGCGATAACCTGTCACCACGTCTTCTGTAACAGATCCATAGATCCAACCTACTCTGTCTCCCCATTCAGTTTTATCCTCGTACCTGTGCTTCATGTAAAAACATAGGAGTTACAATCAATTTATATTATCCCAGTTCAGGGTTATTATGCTCAGTTTGATTAACATTGTTATGCACGATACCACAACAAATATTCAAACGAAATAGAAAAGCACAAAATACACACAGAATTATGTGGTTCAAATCGAAAGCTATGTCCACAGGCAGACTGTTACAAAAATTTCCTATCAAAGATGAAGATTACAGATGGTTCTCTAAAATGTATGCAAGAGAACAAGAATATGTTTATTAATCACTTTGGTTTACCTGAAAATATTTTCTACATAAAAAAAACTCACTCTTACAGTTTCTGTAATTGATTCACATGTGACTCTAAATGACATTATAGCTTAAAATGCTCTTGTTCCATGGCTAATGTATTGCCAAGACTTTTGCATGGTACTATGACAGGACTGACAAGTTCCATTTTCAAAATGAAAGTGATTTACACTTTCAATTAGAACAACTGATACTGCTTGCAAAAATGAAGAGGACAAAATTGAGTAAGAAATTACCAGCAGGAGATAACAGCAATGGCCTCGGCAACTGTTGGTGCATCGAGCGGCAGACGTGGAATGAGCAGTGCCCCGGGAGGCCGGCCATTTTTCACAGAGATGTGATCAGCTAGTGGTCGTCCTTGGAATTCAGCTACGGGTATAGAGTCAGTGAAGATGGTCGAATTCCCAAATTTCTTTGGCAGGGTCAAATCAGGATGTGATGTTAAGGGCTGTGTGTCCGAGTCCTCTGCATCAGATGGCATCTGAATATGGGGAGCGCGGCTCTTGTTCTGCCCAATAATGCCTGAGTACTCGTTTGCCCGTGGGGGGTGGAAACCGTATAATGCATACCGCCGGAACATGCAGCCAGTTCCAACATAAACTGGCCCTTGAAGACCATCCAAAGCTCGCATGTTACCTAGAGTGCATAATGAACAAATTTTGCATTATTTCAACTGAAACTTTAGTAGGAAACATCAAATGGTGATAATTGTTGCCATTTCCAGTAAAGGTTCTATTTCACACGCATTTCTTTGTACTTTCAAAAGTTGTTAGGTGTAAGAACATCACCTACAACGGTGAGTTGTATGCTCAACCCGTTATTTGGGGTGAGATCCCAAATACCATCGATGGCCAATGGGTCGGTTGTTTTCATCGTTAATATATATATTGGGACATAATCATACCATATTGTAACAGAATTCTCAAATCTCAACATTAAGATAAAAAAAAATACTATTACTGACCATCAAAGAAGACAGTGTTATGGTTGGCATATCTATCTGAGGGATCGATGCCCTCGAATCTTTGAGGGAACTGTACGTAGCAGATCCGGTCGCCTCCACGGTCCATCATAAAGCATATTCCCTCCCTTATAGCCATGGAGTTATAGATATAGTGGTCACAGTCTAGGTTAAGTATGAATGGACCATTGGAAAGTACAGCAGAAGCTCTCACCAAGGCATTCATGGCGCCAGCCTTCTTGTTGTGGTCATAACCAGGCCTTTTTTCACGTGAAACATAGGCAAACATTGGAATCCGGATGTCTATACCAGTGAAATCTAGCTTCTTCTCATCTGGATGCCCCATTACTGGATCACTTTCTGGCACCTTGCTCATTATCTGGATGGTTACAAATTCAACTTTGGGGAATTAATTAACCAGCATGTTCCAAAAGTTTGAAATCCAAGTGATTTTAACAAAGTTTCCAAAAAAGAAAATTTTATAGAATCTTCAGGATAAACCCAAGAATGGGATACACCAAGCGATGGAAAAAAAAGAAATATTTCTCCCCTTTTATAAATAGGCATTTGAAACAGTTCAGAAATTATTGAACAGGAGGATTTCATGATTTTGCTAACAAAATGGAAAACTAAATTTTGCCTCGTCACTATTTGAATCTGTGCCATTTTACCTCCCCCTGTTTTAGAAACCTACACGTAACCTGTGATTTTGAACTGAAATGCAATTGCTAATGGATATAGCAATTCAATATTAATAAAACAATACTCTTTATCTTTATATCATACTACTAATTCTACACAATCTGAAAAATCTATTTGATGCATATATTGTCATTTTGACTTGATATTTTAGTAAAAATATTGACTTTGACCTTTTAACATTAATTTTTAAGGAATTTGTAATGGCTCTAGTTTAGTCCAAATCCACAAGGTTGTAATGTGTGAATTTCTGAAGTATAGAAAAGGTAATGCGTAATTGGATTAATTAAACCACTGTAATTTATAGTTTACCATTCAAAACATTACATCTGAGTTTGCCTTGTAAGTGAAAAATCTAAGAAAACTGAAGGAGGAAATTTTTTAGGAATTATCACCTGAAGAATCCCGGCATGGTCTCCCTTCTTGTGATCAGCTGTCGGCGAGAACCATGTGCCTGGCCAGTGTGTTCCGTCTGCCATCCATGTCGCCTTTGCTACCTTGACCTCCTCCGCTGGCAGCACTCCACCATTCTTCTCCTTAGCAAGTCTCTTCGCCTTCATTTCCTCTTTTTTGTTGTATGATTCACATCGCTTTCTTATAACTTCTGGTAGGCCATTTATCCTGACCTTGAACTCATCATACTCCCTCTTGATCCAGCGGCGGTCTTTAACAAAATCAGGTCGCTTCTTGTTCTTGGTTGGATCTGTTTTCTGGCTGAAATAACTGTCTGGATTCCTAGGCTCAATGTTATGTTTTCGGCAGAAGGGCACCCATACCTATGATGCAACCCATATACATTCAACGAACATAAGGAAAATAATTTCATCTACATCAACCACTTCACTACATATTGTCATGAATATGACCTAAGCACATGATAATACACCACACCCACATCCACACTAAAAAACATTTTTATATAGATTGTACAGGTTTTGTGGTTTTGTCTATATCATAGATGTATGGTCAAATTACAAAATGTCCACTAAACTATGGCATCTATCTCGTATCACCCCTCTAAATTGAGTTTCTTCCTTGTCAACCTTGAGTATTTGAATTAGCTTCAGACTAGTATAAACGCCGTTACATTTCGGATAAAAAAAAAATACCAACATGTAATTGGATTTTGGGTGTAAAGGAAATTACATTTGCAAGCAAACTATATAATGGAGGGTGTAATATGAGATAGGAGCATAATCTTGACAATCAACCTATCATGTATCCTAGATATGTATAAGCAAATATTTATAAGAAAGATGATGACTTAAAAAGAAATTACATCAAATGTTAGCTTAAAAGAGTACGTGAGAGAAATCTAGTTGTTTGGGTTTAAATTCGGGTGATTTTGATTAAAGGCTAATGTATCCTAACCTCTCCAAATATGAGAAGCACAGTATCCTACTACCAAATGTTTTTAACACATTTTCATCTACCACATCATTTGGGATAGAAGATTTGATAAACAAATTTGGTATGTATAGCTTCATTGATCATACATGTTCAGATTAGGCTTATTCGAATGCTAAGCAACTCTTTTGAGTTTTGAAACTATGGGACTGTTTGGTATATTTTTTTGGGAGTGATTTAAATTGACTTGTTCAAATCCTTCCACACCCAAAGATGGTAGTCAATATTTAATACTGTCATACTCATGTTTAGTATGCGTAAGGATATATGACTATTAGGATAATATAGTTGTATATAAATAACTATTATGCCCTTAATTAATTTGTATATATTGGGTATATAAAATATATGAGAGTATAAATGTTATNGGTATATTTTTTTGGGAGCGGTTTAAATTGACTTGTCCAAATCCTTCCACACCCAAAGATGAGATTCAAAGATGGTAGTCAATATTTAATACTGTTCATACTCATGTTTAGTATGCGTAAGGATATATGACTATTAGGATAATATAGTTGTATATAAATAACTATTATGTCCTTAATTAATTTGTATATATTGGGTATATAAAATATATGAGAGTATAAATGTTATTTGCTTGTTTACCCACCAACACATATGAAACCCATTCCTCTGGGTTTCATGATACCCGTGAACTTAGGATTGCTGAAACCATGAACTTAGGTTTTACGACGGGGTCGAATTTCAAACCTGAACTACATGTATATTTGTCAAACATGGGTTTATGGGAGTTTATTCCCCTACTCATATTCCAAAACCCCCAAACCCCCATACCAAAAAGGCCGAGAATCCTTTAAGACATTTCTTCAACATATTGTATACCCAATTTTGCTGCCTGACACCCATTTCATCAATCCCAAAAGAANGCACTACATGTATATTTGTCAAACATGGGTTTAAGGGAGTTTATTCTCCTACCCATATTCCAAAACCCCCCAAACCCCCATACCAAAAAGGCCGAGAATCCTTTAAGACATTTCTTCTACATATTGTATACCCAATTTTGCTGCCTGACACCCATTTCATCAATCCCAAAAGAAAAAAAATTCCTGTGAAGATTGTAAATTCAAACCTCTGCGAAGATGACGGTCTCAGCCATGGCTTCAAAGTTCAGAATAGCACCACCATCATCAGAGACATACAGAGAAACCTTTTCCACCGGATACTCAACGGCAAGAACAGAGAGAATGGTATTTGCAGTGACAAGAGGTGGTTCCTTTTCGGGATCGGCAGTGGAAATGAACACGTCCATGCCCGGGAGGTCGGACCGGCCGTGAGGATTGGAGGGGGAAGGTGTCTCGAACTTGTCTTTGAGGGCGACGAGGTCTGTGGCTCGGTTTATGGGGTTGAACTTGGGTAGAATATCGAGCAGCCATGAAAATGCGAACCATAACTCGCAGACTATGGAGATTCCCCATAACCACATTGCGTCCTCGTTCGGGTTTCTCACTCGCCATATCAGGAAGAGTGTGAGTGCTGCTAGGCGGATGACGATCAGTAGCCTGCAAGGAGAGACAAAAATAGGTTACTACAAAGACCTTTAGGCTTTTAGCTGACGTAACTGTCTTTGTTTTTTTTTTTTGGGTAAATCACATAAATGACCACAAAACTATGGGTTTCGTTTTAAATTATACCCTGAACTTTAATTATTTTTAATTTGTCCCCTCAACTATTCAATTTATTTTAATCAACACCTTCTGTTAAAATAAGCCGTTAAGTCAGACAGCAACCGAATTTGTGACTTGCACATGGCTGTTTGTTTCAGGGATTTAATGGCGCACCACATTCTTTATAAAGTTGTCGCCAATATTTCCCTCTTAATTGATAGTCTGGAAAAACATTTTTAATCATGATTTAAATTTAAATTTAAATTTGAATTTGAGTAAAAATTTTGATTTGATATAGAGTATTCCCATGAACAAACTCAAATATCTACTCAATTTTTTTAAAAAAAATTCCTTCTTATCTCACAACTCATTTTTTTGTGTCATTTAAATCATGAAATTTGATAAAATAAATAAAAATTTCATATTTTTCTATAAATGGGTAATTAAAAAAATTGAATATGGATACAATAGTACCACATGGGAATAAAAAGAAACAGAAAAAAAAAAACAACTCTAGAATTCTCAAATTGTTATAATCTCTTATCTTTTTCTATAAATCCAGATAAAAAAAATAAACGAAAAAAAAAGCAATTACTTTGATATGAGTTTGATCTGAAAACACAAAAAATAGATCATTTTCAACAAAAAAGTGATGATTGAAGAAATAAAATAACGAATTTCTTAAATTTGTAAATAGTGAAGACTTGAAATTTCAATAAGAATCAGTGGTCTGAAATTGCATTACTATAATGTTTGACTCGAAAAAATCAAAACAAAATTTAATAAGTAGGCTTAAGGTTTATATAGTATAAAAGATGAGTGAGATTAGAGTTTTGAAAAATAAAAAAAAAAAGTTGATGAAAGATTAACGAAAAAACTTATCTATAGGTCTTGAAAGGATCTGTGAATAATTCGCCCGTAGTCAGCAATAGAAACATCGTAGAAGAAAAGGTCAAAAGAGGCAGAGAATAAGCCGTCGAAAAAATCTTTTAGCTTTGAATAAGGTAAAAAATTACCGTTAAAAATTTGATATTGAATTTGAATATCCCTCAATATAGGTCCAAAAGAAATTTTTTCTTAATTTGATATCAGTTTAAATCTAAAGTTAGAGAAGATTTTTAAATCATTTAGAGTCAAATTTAAATTTGAGCCTACCTTAGAGTCATGGTCATAGATAGTCTTATGTACACGAGTTAAAACACATTAGGCATCGAGAGAGCAATGGATGGAAAAAAAAGGTAGCAATGATTGAATTATGCTAGTAGAGAGAGAGAGAGAGAGAGCAAAATAGATTGGTTCATCCGATGCATGAGTCTTGTAACATCCAAAACATGCACCTGGATTGACCAATATACAAACAGGGGTTCATCTGAAAGGTTGCAGTGACCATTCTTCTTCCACAGCTTGAGTCAAGCTATTGTGTTGAATATCCACCAGCCCTTTTCTTCTTCCACTCACAAGGTCCAATACCCAACATACCAGAATAATTGACACCCAAAATATTTATGGTACAGTTTGTCCGGATGAAAAACAACACCCACTTCTCGCAATAACGAAGACATTTTGCATTAATCGACTTAAGACCAAACCCTAATTCCTACTCACAGGTGGAAGTCAGATGATGTACAGTGGAGTTGGCCATGAAACCCTTATTCCTAATTGACTGAAGTCGAATGAAAAGTCATTTGTTTAAACTCCCTTAAATGCCCCCAACCAAACAGCTATGTGCAAGTCACAAGTTTGAATTCCATGGTTATAACATGTGAGAAGTAAAGATATATCAGTAATGTTGAACCCAATATCTCTAAATTCTCAAAGATCAAACTTCTTATTTAATTGTCTTGCATGCATGGGGATAGTGCACAATATGATGCCCAATTAGAAGGTTTACAACTATTTAGAGGTATGATGTCCAATTAGGACGAGGGTGGTTAGTATTTAAATGATGTAAAAAAAGATTGAACTTGAAAGATTAAGATTGTCAAAGAACAAACTAAATTATTGAATCACCTCTAAGGGTTCACAACAGTCCTCTTGATTGGCTTCGTTTCTTCTTTGTTCTTGAGCACTGTTTTGGAGAGTTAATTCGGGTATTAAATTTGAGATTTAATAAATCCTTTGCATACCTAATTTAAGAATTTAATATATTCTAACTTTAAATTAATAATGGACATTAAATAAAGTCAATTATTAATTTTGACTACTACCAACCTCTTGTTGGTTGCACATGGGCTTAGGCCTATTATTGGACCATAGTTTTATTTAAATCTCAATTGGATTGTTAGTAATAGATTTTCGATTTTGAACATATTCAGATATAGATTTTTAAAGTTAACTTGTAAAATATTCTAATTAAAACTTCGATATGAGATTTGGATTTGGACTGCGATCAAGCAAAATCTACGCCAATGCAATCCGTGGGGAGGCCTACTTGAACATAAAAATCGGAATTAGATCCCCTCCATTACCCCTTTCTTTCAATTTCTCTCAATACAGTGTTAGATGAGTGACATATATAATATTTTAAATTTTAATGGATAAGATATTTCCTCATTTATTTTTGTTATTGGTGAAGCGTTAACCATTATTAAAAAATTTCCTCACAAAAAANTGAATTTTAATGGATAAGATATTTTCTCATTTATTTTCGTTATTGGTGAAGTGTTAACCATTATTAAGAAATTTTCTCACAAAAAAAATTTTATCCATTGAAATTCAAAATTTTACACGTGTCACTCATCTAACACTGTATTGAAGGGAATTGAAGGAAAGAGATAATGGAGGGAATCTGAATCCGTAAAAATCTATGAACTTGTCTGAAGCTTGATTTTACAAATCTAACAGGCCATAAATGTGTGTAGGGATGAGAGCTCCTAAGCTATGCATGAGAATCGAATTGAGATCTTAAAACTAGTAAAGTGTAGCCTTTTTTCATCGCATGCACACCTTGTCCCTGGCGATGTTGGAACTACAAAACTCCCAATTCAAAAGTGGGACTTTCCTGGATTAACGTAGGCTACCATCCTGGATTAGCTATACATAATCATATGTTTTCTAGAATAGCAAGTTTCATCTTCCGTATATGATTATAGCAAACAAATTTGTGGGGAGCAGCTTCCCATATGATTATATACCACTGTCATAATAACTACTGGGAAACTCTACGGTACTAAAAGAAAATTTTTGGTATCGGTACTAGTGCCGTTCGTAACTATTTTGTATAATAAAATTATAATTTAAAAAAAAAAAATTATAATTGTTCAAATGAGGTTATGATCGATCACAAATACCCATGATCGACCATAAAAAATACGGTATCGATCTCAATATTTTATGATCGATCATGCCGTTTAAAATTGTAACTTATACTTAAAAAAAATTATAATTTAATCTTAAAATAATATAATTTTCAGTATCGCACGAAAGTGACTGCTAATAAACATATTAAAGGTATGCAAACATGGCAGTCTCACCCAATTTATAATTTTCTTGAAGTGTAATTATATGTTTAGTCATTTTTTGAGATAAGAATTAAGAAGATATTTATGAAGCACCAATATTTCGTTAAAGTCAATATATCTGACTCACATATGATACTCCTTATATATTCGATGATATGTTATAATGCAAAAAAATAGATTTATGCATAATTAAATCAGTCGAGTGTAATATAAAATAATTAATGACGCAGTTAATAATAAAAGATAAAGATTAGGTGATTGAGTTGATCTAACCACCGAAGACGGTAACGATGACCAAAAAACTCTATTAATGAGAGAATACAATGTAGTAGAAGAGAAAGTAAGAGTATGTTCAAGGTGATGTGCTTGAGATCTCCATCCATGTGTAGAGGATCTATAATTTATAGGCACAGAATCATAGCAGTGGCGGTGACATAAAAGTCAAACTACTAAATTGTTTTGGGATATCTACTATTGGGGATAGACACTATCTTGGAGTAATACTATCCTGATGATTGTTTTTCTACGTGCATTGACTCTTCCTGAACTCTTGGACTTTGGATTGGATTGAAATTATGAGCTAAGTCTGGTATGCCTTTTGATAGTTTAGACTTAACCCATAAACTGAGCTCAGGTATAGTTGGATCTAGGCTTGTCAATATGTATCGGATATGTATCATACGCACCCAATAATTAATAAAATATGTGGATATTTCGTGAGTAAGATATATAATTTTTAATTTTAATCTATATCCTTTCTATTCGAGTTCACATATAATACAAAATATCAACAAAATTTTATTAGATTTTGAAGACATGAGTGTTTTTTAAGTATTATATACTATTATATGTCAAAAAGTATAAAAAATGAATTAATTATATGATAGTTATAAATAAACCAATAAGTTAAATGTTATTCTGATTCTTTTAATGTGTTACACTTATTTTATAGATATATTATAATAAGATAATTTTACATCTTTTCAAGGTAAAAATTTCATAATTTTACTTACTATTGTTGAAGAATTATAATTTTTAAGTTGTTAAATAATAATAAAATATATTTTATATTTTATTCTAGATGTAACTTGATTATACCCGTGTTTATTTTTTTTAAAAATTTTTTATATCATTCACATCGTACTACATTCGTGCAGAAAGATATTGACTTGTTCACTTGAATCGTAAAGAAGAAGGTGTGCACCTGTAAGGACTAAGAATACCAGGTGGAATCTTAATCTTCCGAGTGAGTGGCTTCCATGGCTTGTCCAAAAAATCAGACATGGTCATTCCACCACCATCATGGTCATATGAATCATCATCCTGTTGCCAGAATGCATTTCCGATCCCATACTTCCCTTTCGTCTCGAACAACCATCGGTTGTGATCGAAATCCCCCGTCTGGCTCCTCAATAGCATCGACTTATTATTCGATTTCATCAACGACATCCGCCGGTCGAGCTTCCCACCCCCATTTCCACCACCACCCTCCTCCTCGTCACCGCCACCGCGCCTGCCCATCCTGTCCGTGCCAAACCGAGAAGTGGTCCCATAAGGACCGGGCCCGTCGGGCTTGTCGCCCGAGGACCCAGAGCCTGATAAGCCCCCGGGTTGATTGTCAGGGGTTGGGGGCATAAGCACGGTGTAATTAATGTAATCATTTGGCCCTGCAAACTCCCCCGATACATCTATGTCATCATCACGGGACAGGCTGACGACACGGCCGCTTGATGTCCGGCGGGCGAATTTCACGGCTTGAGGCGGGCGGTCGGACGATTTCTTTGGGCTTACTGAAGTGGCCATCTATCTTAATCTTAGCTCTGTATGTTTTTACAACATTGATGAGTATATTGTTAGAATCTCAGGAACTTGAACATGAATGATCAAAGATAAGGGAAATGAAGATCAGAAACCGTTAAGGTTGTGCAATAATGGAAAGAAATGAAAGAAAGAGGAAAGGAAATGGTGTTCATTGGCTAGTCGGAGAAACAAAAGGCTAAATTTAGGTTGGTGGTTTTCAATGGTCCTCATTTTGCTTTCCTAGTTAAGTTCCATGCAGTGAGTGTCCTTCCCTTGTTTCAAGCCAGGCTTCTCTCTCTCTCTCTCTCTCACATAACAACCACCATTGGTTCCAGTAGAGGATGTGTTCCATTATGCAGAGAAATTGACTGAAATTAGACAAGCAAATGAAAGAAGTCGGCAACAAATATATCTGAAGAAGTGTAACTTGTATGTGAACTTTTAACCTAAGATTTTCATCGGATGTGCTCTGTTCAATCCTTTCTGGTGACTCCCGAATTTAAATGATATCTATGATAAATAGATGATCGTAGATATTCGGGATTTACTCTAGATAGTGGGTCGAATGTGGCCCTGGCTGTAATGGGGGGACAAGGCAGCCAAGAGTTGCACTATGTTTAGGTCCAATCTGGTGAATGTGAAACATGATCCAAAATGTAAGATGGAGGACCATATGAGGATACACTCATCCGAATTACTCATGAGACTCCACAAAATTGTTGGGGATCCATTTGAGTACCACGTTTCTCGTTTGAATTCATGATAGCTAATCTAATATTAAACTAATTGAATGAAATTAGTAGTAAAGTGGATTTGAATTTGTTAATATGATAGTTTGAATTATATGTTTATGCTATCAATGACCACGGATTAGGTGCCCTAATTGCATATTTTCTCTATTGAATTACTAGTTATAGTTCGTGTCTAAAGTCATGAAGTAATAAAAAAAATGGTTAACAATAAACATATTTATATTCACACTCAAATCAAATTACAAACATAGAAGAGAGATAAATGAATTTAAACGTCGATAGTAGGGATGAGTGGTGGTGGGGCGGTAGTGATGGTGGTGGGAGACGGTGATGGTTGTGGTGAATGACAATAACCGTACGTGGTAGTGGCAACAGTAATGGGTGGCAATGGTGATGGTGGTGGTGAATTTTGGGTTACGATAGTAGTAGTGGCAACCATAGATAATTGCGGTGGTGGGCGACAGTGATGATGGTTGATAGTGGTGGTAGTGGGACGATGATGGTGGTGGGTTATGGCGGTAGGCAGTGACGATGGTGGTGGTGGGTGACAATAGGTGTGGTGGGCGTGGGTGATAATGGGTGGCGACAATGGTAGACAATGATGGGTGATAGTGGTGATGGTGGGTGATAGTGGCTGACGGCGATGATAGGCGACGACAGATGGTGGTGGGTTATGGTAGTGGATGGCGGTAGGTGGTGGTGGTGGGTGCTGATGGTGGACGATGGTGGTAGTGGGATGATGATAGTAGTAATAATAACTATAAGAATGATATGAAGATGATGGCGGATGGTGGTGATGGACAACGGTGGTAGCAATTGATAGTGGGTTGTGATAGTTGTGGTCGAGACGAGACAATGGCGGTGGCAAGGTAGTGGTGGTGGTGACATTGATGGTAGATGGTGGTGGCGGTGGTAATGGAGATGGTGGTGGTGGGGTGGTGATAGTGGTGGCGGTGGTAGTGGAGATGGGGGTGGTGCTAGCGATGGGGATGGTGGGTTGCAACTTTTTATTTTTCTAAAAGATTTTTTTTAAAAGAATATTCTAAGGAAATTAAATTAAGAAAAAACACCCTAGACCAAATGGTCTAAGAAAGGTCGGGAAATGCTTGCTAAGTCCTAATACAGTTTGCCCAGAGTCGCATTATTTCTATCATTATAGGGTTAAAAGACTTTTAAAAGTCGAGTCTAAGTGTAACGGTAATGTTTTTCTATTATGACATTAGAATCACTAATTCGAGTCTCAAAACAATCTCTTCATATTAGGGAGTTAGACTCCACAATGATGAAAGTCCCTTTACTGGATTGCCATTTTCGACTGGAGTTTGTTAGAAACCTCAAGCTGCATTAAGTTCTTCCACTCCTTTGGTTCTTGTCATATTTTGTTCTCTTTTAATAAGCCAAGACATGACTGGATCGAGGAGAGGATTAGTCAATGTGCACGTAAGTTGACTCAGACATCCTTGACTGTTGAACCAAAAAAAAATTGAAACATGTTTCCTAAGTTACTGATTGATGTGTTTGTGTCCAATCTTTATATGGGTGAATAACTGTGTGAATAAATTTGTAAGTTTTGATTATATGTGTGATATTGTTGGTTTGTTCTCTGTCCACCCCAAGGCTTGAAAAAAATTATATGTATTCCCCCTCTTTTTTGGTTCCTAATAAATCTGTAAACTGCAGGGACCCTAAGTGCTTCTTGTGCCATGGTCAGTTCCACAAAGTATTGGACGTAAAACAACCTATGTGTAAGTCTAGATAATAGTCTATGTAGATTATATGAGTCCAAAATATAGCGATTTGAGTCAAGCATCGTAAGTTCGAGTAAGTAAAGATGCAATGTGTTCAAATTAATAAATGAAGTACGAAGGGGAAATCAGAAATATAATTTAAAGGAGCAAAATGAAATTAACCCATCAACAATGACTAAAGGCGTCTACTGAAAATTCAAAAAGAAAAGGAAATCTCAATAGAAAACAAGTAACAACAAGTGCATTGGAAAGGAAAGTTGGTACAAGCAAGAGAGAACCACATTTTGAACAAATATATGACTATATTGTCTTCACGGAAGATAGGAATCTCTTGTGCAAGTCAAGAAGGCCTTCAAAGCCGTTGTGCCCAAAGTTGTTGAAGCGTGTATCAAAAGACATATTGTTTTTAAAACATGATGAATCGTGTATCGTAACGTATCGTGCATTTTCATAAAAGATATTTAAAAATATTGAAAATTGGAGCTGAGTCATCCTCAAGAGATTTAAAATCAGATTAGTTCATCAAAGAAACTTATTTAGAGGTAAGTCAATTCTTAATTTTATTAATAACTAGTTAAATCTATTAATTTTTTAAAAACTCTAAAATACCCTTTTAATAACTTAAAAGCAACCTTCGATATTAAATCAATTTCTTAAATATTCATCTCTTTATTCACACTTGCGAAATATAGATATCTATATAACATAGAAACACATTACCAATTGAGGCCATGATCGTAGAGAAGCAATACCCTGGTGAGTTCTCGGGCAGCATTGAAGTCGGTCCAGTCGATTCTAGGTCGACCATCGCGAGAGAAGAACATGAAGGGCTTGAAAGAAGGATAAAGAGAGGTCAAGAGTCCGACGTCCGGTGGATTATCGAAGTACTTGTTTAGAGGGTGTATGGTGGGTCTCTCTCTCTCCACTGCCCTTTTTCTCTTCCTTGGCAATCCTAGAAAAGCACTGGTTCATCATATTTAAAATTAGTTATTATCTGTGCCTCAAGATACAAAGTAATAAAAAAATGTTAAATAATAAACATATTTATATTTACATTCAAAACCAAATCATAAACATAGAGAAAAAATAAAAAAATTTAAATATCGATTTGTAGTGGGAGTGAGAGGTGGTGGGCGACAGTAGGGGTGGTAAGAGATAGTGATGGTTGTGCTTGATGCCAATGATCGTGGTGGTGGGCGATAGTGGGGGTGGTAAGAGACGAAGATGGTTGTGCTGGGTGACAATGATCGTGGTGATGGTGACGGTGTGGTTGAGGGTGATGGCGACAGTGGTGGCGACGGTGGGGGTGGGGGTGATGGTGGCAGCGATGGGGATGATGGTGGTGACGGCGGTGTTGGTGGCGTTAGCGACGGCAATGGTGGTGGCGTTAGCGACGACGGTGGTGGTGGTGGCAGCAACGACGATAGTGGGGGGTGGCGGCGATAATTTGGGGGTGGTGGTGAAGGCGACGACGGCGGTGGTGGTGGCGACAACGACGATGATGGTGGTGGTGGTGGTGGCAGCGACGACGACGGTGGTGATAGTAGTAGAGGTAGTGGTGAATCAGTTTCAAACACTATTTTTTTTAAAAATATTTATGAGAAATAATTTTTAAAAACACTTTTAAAAAGTTACTCCAAACACACTATTAGGAGCCTATTTTTCTCATTAAATATAAAATACTAATATTAGCCGTTAGATTAACTTTAAAATAAAATTTATAGCGATCTCAACCGCGAATAGCAAAAATCATTTTGTTTTTCTTTTGAAATTTAAATTATAAGCTACTTTATTATATAGATGTTTTATTTTCTCCACTTTGAATTATTGTCTTTCGATTTTATATAGTAAAAATGGATAAAATTGATGAAGTAAAAGACCATTAAATCAATCAAAGACTAGTCTAATTTGATCCATTTCGACGTTAATCTAACGATGAAATGACTTAAATTGTGACAAAATTAATAGCTGAAAAGTTAAATTAAAATAATTAAAAATTTAGGGACCAAATTAAAATCTATTGGTTGGTTCTTAAATCTATGAAGGGTGAAGCTTCGACTCAGTTTCTTCCACCGAACAGTTCTCCCATCAGAGATTTTCTTCTCTGGAGCTCTCTCTTTTTATCACCTCTGTTGTGAACAATAAATGAGCCTCTTGAGATCAGAGCAGTTGAGGATCCAAAATCAGTGAACATTAACAACTGTTGTCGTACTGGATATGTAACCCAAAATTAGTGCCCAATTCAACCAACATACAAGCGTAAATAGAAGATAACAATGGCATTTATGAAGGGTATCATTTGTCTCTCCTACAACAAAACATCATACATACACTACGCTGGATTCCGTATCATCCAACACAAGGCATAATATAAATCCAACCTATGCATGCATATCTTCTCAATTTATTATTACTCCTTAGGCCGAAGCTCAATGCCCTCGACAATGAGACCACTCTTCGAATTAAGTTGGCGGTGCTCCTTTAATTCCATCTCCACTTCACC